CTGCTCTATACCTGTTTTTAGGTCTCTTCTCTTCACACTTGATCCATTTGAATTTCAAGGGTCTCACACCACTACTCTGCCTGCCACATTCTCCATTTATGTCTCTATATTTCTCTCTCCCTCTCCAATTTTTACTTTCTTACTTCCACTCATTCTTAAAACCTTAAACAATTCTTTACCTTATGTTATTATTCATACCATATTTTTCCTCTCTTTAAATCTCTGCATTTCCTGGATCTGTGCTCTTCCATTTCTCTGCTTCTGCAACCAGAAATCTGTCTCTCTCTGAGCCTGTCAAGATATCCTCTGATTATCAGTTCCCTTCCACCTGTTCATTTTTTTCTACGCTCTGAAGATGTACCTTACTGGTAGCTCAGAACTGTTACATCTGGGCTAGTGGTTGGAACCACAAAACAAAGCAGTGACAGTTGTAACTCCTAAGACTACTTTCATCTGCTCTATGGAAGGTGTCCAGTCACAGTCAATGAGCAGATGTTATGCACAGCAATAACCTTTATACCATTCCACAAGCCTTGTTCCTTGTTTTTGGAGTTAGGATGTCTGTGGTCAAGTCAAGTCAGATTTTAACAGGCACCATTGTAGAAATCAAGGTCTAACCCAAAAACAAGACTTTATAGCACTTATGGTATTTTTTTATGTTTAAACAATGTAACATTTTACTAAACCCTTCATTATATGTTCAGTGCCTTGGTAAGAACCTCTATATGCTGTACAAAAGTGTTTGCAAACACTAACATCAACAACTACATGTTGCATTAATTGAGAAACTTTAATTAGAAATGCCTTCATGCCACTGACCTGGATGAGCAACTGGATGATGAATGGATAAATGGATGGAATAAGCAATGCATTATGCCTACATAATACAGACGCTCGCAGGGTTATGATGGTCTGTGTTACGATATTTCAACTTTACGATTAGCAAATGTTTTTCACTTTCATAATAAATTATATCAGATATTCAACTTTTTCTATAAATTATGCTTTGTGTTAATGATTTTGCCCAACTGTTGGCTAGTGTAAGTGTTTTAAGCATGTTTAAGGTAAGCTAGGCTAGGCTATGATGTTTGTCAAGTTAGGTGTACTGTATTAAAATGCATTTTCGCATTACCATAGGTGTATTGAAACATCAGCCCACCATAACATGGGCAGAGGCTGTACTTATGATATGGAAATATAATTAAATTATACAGAACAAAACCTTATGCAGGCCTCCTTCTTTAATGCTTTATTTCAGTAGCTGACCAAGGTGCTGGTTCATACGGTGAAGGGCTCTGGTGAAACAAAAAGGCATCCATCAGGCATCAAATCAGTGCCTGCGGACTTTTCTGGAAGCAGTTGGTATCCCATTACACTTTTTGTTAATTTGAGCAGGAGCCAGGGAAGCGGCCAATGGATGAGGCAGCTGAAGTCAGCGGTCAGAAAAAGGCCGGGGCTCTGGCGTCACGACTGCGCAGGCTGGCAGCTAGAACACCCTGACCTGCTTTTTAGGGGGGCTGAGGGGGAACTGGCCTTCTCCACTGCAGCCAGGATGTGACGAGGATGACATCTGCGCAGCACATCTCCTCTGCTTAGCCCTTCCCCCAAGGAACAACGTGCACTGAATCGAATGCACATCTTTGTGGTAAGTCACAGGTAATTGACAGGTTCCACATAAAGGGAGCAGCTCCTGACAGCAGATTGGGTGCAGGTGTGTGTGCGTGAGCATGCAGAGACATCAGTGCAGAATAAGAGTGTCAGAGAGCGTCAGAGAGACGAGAATATGTGGGCGGAGGAACCAGCAAAGAAAAAAAATACTTGCAGCTATTCCTGTCTTTTCTTTGTAGGATCGGCGGATATAGAAACTGTGTAGGCAAGTCTTGGCTTCTCATTCATATCTCTCTCTTGCTTTCGTCTTTCTCTCTCTCTTGGGTTTACTGAATAACTCACACTGAATATATATATATTCAGTGTGAGTTATATATGCAACTGTAAAAGTTAGTATTTGGTTGCTAAACTGGTGTGTTTATCATGTGCAGATTAGCATTTTAACACTGCCAGATACCTTACCAAATCATCTCCAGGTTAAGCACACAGAAGGGCTGCAGGGGCAACTCGAACTAGCAGCCTTGAGGCTGTGAGCCCAGATTCTTAACCGCTATGTGACCTGCTGTGAGGGAACATCATGCGACTGCTCCGGAGTGAAATGTTTCACACTGTCTTGCTGCGGCTGAAGCTGCTAATAATAGATCAGACAGCACCGCAAAAAGATGTAATTTCAGAATATATCATATTTAAATGTTGATATATAACATCAGTCACTGTGCAAGTATCATAGCAATCAATGTGGGTGATCCAGCAATTTTGGAGTCAGAGCTGAGAAATACTGGGTGGAATTTCATGTAGAATGTCTCCTGACAATTCCCTAAAACTGAAAACACAACTGAAAACATCCCAGTTCTTGATTATCCAGACTTCACCTTTTAAAATCTCCAACCCCATCAACAGAATGCTAAACAACAATGTCAAATAACTGAATGAGTCGTTAATGGTCACATCAGGTCACATCTCCTCAAACGTAAACTGGTCGTAAACTTCAATTAGTTAGTGCTGGGTTTTCAGGAAACATGCATAATTATGTTGTATATCTTGTTAAATCATCAGTGTAATGCACAACCCTGCCTGCTTGGGGCGCCATACTGTCCATGTGTTTGCCGCAAGAGCAGGACAGAGCTTGTTCTCTGCATCACAGTCAGTCACTTAACACTCTTCACAACTTGAAGGCCTGCCTAGGGAATGATCCGGACAAGTCATATTTTGGGGTCAAAGTCCATCTTCATGGATGTATACTAGAAGCATCTGGTGGAGGTCCATGCTGGGAGGTCTATGCTGGGGTACTGGAGAGGAGGGTCCGCCCGTTGGTCAAGCCGTGGATCCAGGAGGAAAAATGGAGATTTCGTCCTGGTCGCGGAATGCCGGACTATCTATTCACCCTCACAAGGATACTGAAGGGATCATGGGAGTTTGCCCAACCAGTCTACATGTGTTTTATGGACTTGGAAAAGGCAAATGATCATGTCCCTCAGGAGGTCCTTCAGGAGTATGGGGTAAAGGCTCCATTGCTGTGGACCATCATGTCCCTGTATAAACGGGGTGAGAGTTTGGTTCACATTGCCAGCAGTAAGACAGACTCGCTGGTTACTGCCAGGACTGCCCTATGGACAGAATTTCTATACGTAGCAAAGGAGTGGAAGAAATTTCATCTTTGCTTTTCGCACATGATGTGATCCTGCTGGTATTGTCGTGCTGTGACCTGCAGCCTGCACTGGGGTGGTTCGCAGCTGAGTGTGAGGAGTCTGAGGCCATGGTTCTCTACAGGAAAAGGGTGGATCGCCCTCTCCTGGTGGGGGATGAATTGCTGCCTGAAGGGGAGGAGTTTAAGTATCTTGGGGTCTTGTTCCCGAGTGAGGGAAGAAAGGAGTGGGAGATCAACAGACGGATTGGTGCAGCGTCAGCAGTAATGAGAGAAATGAGCCGGAAGGCAAAGCTTTTGATCTACCAGTCGATCTACTTTTCTAAGCTCACCTATGGCCATGAGCTTTGGGTAGTGACTGAGAGAATGAGACTGCAGATTCAAGCTCCAGAAAGGAGTTTCCTCCACAGGGTGTCTGGGCTCAGCCTTAGAGATAGGCTGAGGAGCTCAGACATTCGGGAAGAGCTCAAAGTAGAGTGGCAGCTCCACCGCATCAAAAGGAGCCAGTTAATGTGATTCCGGCACCTATCAAGGATGCCTCCTAGACAGCTTCCTGGGGTGGTGTTTCGGGTATGTCCAACCAGGAGAAGGCCCCGGGGCAGACCCAGGACACACTGGAGAGATAATATCTGTCAGCTGGCCTGGGAACACCTTGGTATTCCCCAGGTTGAGCTGAAGGAGGTGGCTGGTGAGAGGAAGGTCTGGGCATCTCTTGGAATTTGTGTGGCGGGGCATATTCATTTTCCATCTCGCCCGCTTGCTCATATTCACACCCAAAACCACACATACAACTGCGTATACATAAATATTAACATACAGAAAAACGGTGTGTCCAATTTTCTTTCCACACTAGGCTTGTGCAATATGATGAAATAATTGGTAATGATATTAGACAAATAACCCGGTGATAATTGCCTTTGTCGGGGTATTAGGATTAGGCTACACACCAAGCAAGATAACAAAAATTTCTCATGTGGCGCTCAGTTCAGCCTATTAGCATAAGTTTCCACCTTCATTTTTAAAAAAGACACACGTGATGAATACCTTTGGCACCTACAGGAAGAGAGCATGATACATCCTGAGATGGCTCACGGTGTTAAAAGTTTGAGAACCACCAGACGACCAGTGACCAGTTTTTAAAATCATCATTAAATTCGTCCCACCAATCAATCGTTTTCCACAGGAATTAAATAATGATGTCACGTCTCTCTGTTAATCAACACCCCACCCCCCAATCAGCAAGATTTAACGCCAGTTATGTAGTGGATTATCTGTATATCGTTTTTTCGTGCAGTTTTTCTTTCAGCCCTGCATCGTTCCATGTGTGTTTCTATTGGGGAGGGGAAGTGTTGGTTGACTCAATATTACAGACTAGTATTACAGTTTATCCCAATTTTTTTTTATATATCACTTAATTTTCTAAAATGTTATTCTTGGTCACACATTTCATATCCCCTGCCATACAGGCAGTAGCCAGCCTGTGGTGCAGTAGTTAGCACTGTTGCCTCACATCTCTGGGACCAGGGTTGTAGTCTCTGCCCTGGCTCTGTGCATGTTCTTTCTGTTTTGTCAAGGGGTTTCCTCCGGATTCCCTGGTTTCCCTCCGCAACCCAAAGACATGCTAAGATTTATGAATGCGTGAGACCTGTGATGGCTTGGCACTTGGATAGGAATAGGCTCCAGACCCCTATGACCTTGAAAAGGACAAGCGGGGATGGGGGGCTACAGAAGCATCTTATACTCTCACCTGCTTCCCATCAACAGTGTAGAGCTTCTTAACGACCCCAGAGTCGAGCTTGATGGCATCGGTGATGTCACTGAGCACCTGCTCGAAAGAATGCGCCGTCTTCTTGTTGAGCAGGATGCGCACAGCCTTACGCGGCTTGACTCCGCTGCGGACAATGGTCACCAGCTTGGGCCTGATGAAGTCCTTGCTTTCCCGGGCTTCCTGAGGGTTGGGCTTGGAGCAGGCCAAGGAAGGGGGAGCTCGGCTGGACACGGCAGTCTTCACATTCACTGACCAGTTTGGGCTGACATTCTTGGTGTAGTCCAGTTTCTTGAATGGCTCTACGGAGCCACACACATAGCTCTCACCTGCAGTCCAAAAAAATTTTTTTAAAGTGAATCCACAGGACAAAAAGCCCATAATGAGCACATGTGAGAACATTTCAAACATAATAATTCACCTGCTTAATCCACGTGAGATTTCCACTTAACAAATATATGAAGAGCACTTTACCACATTCACATTAAATACCTAAGGAGTAAAACAGTATCATGTCCCTGGGATTTCAACACTGACCATCATTTTATAATGGCTCCATTTCTTTATCCAGCACAACACCAGCTGGACCAAAAACACAAGTTGCTACTGGAAAAATATCTATCCCATCAAAACGGTAAATTTATTTAGCAGGCAAGGATCAGAGACCAAAGTTCAGATGGCATTTCTGGAACAACAGAGGTTAAGGGTCTTGCTCAAGGGCCCAAAAGCCTTATGACTCTGTTAGTCATGAGATTTGAACCAATGACCTTCCCATCAGATCCTAGCCCACAGAGCCATATACCGCTCCATCTGTGCTTTTGTGGTTACCTTAACACAAAACAGATTGCAAGTGTGTAATCTCTTTGTTGAGATTTAGACCCTGCACATGTTTAATTATACAGCAGTTACATAATACTTATCCCATTAAGCCTAATCCTCACCATAAACCTAGCCCAAGCCTTTAAAACGATTATGAAATAATAACGAATCAGAGACATACATTACTGACTTGATACCTTCCAAGACCTTCCAAAGTCATACTATTAATTGAAGACAAACATGTTCCTCTTACAATGGAAAATCCCTGATCGGAAATAGACCCCCCATTTTCCCAGCATCTTTCACACGACAGATCAATGATAATTATCCAGCATCGCTGATACTCATTGACGAGTTTAAGCAAAAGCCGATTAACAAGACCTGACAAGATGGAGAAATGCACCCAGACAGTGATTACACAAATGACAGCTCTGCAAAGGTTAATTGTTGTGACTTTGCCAACAAAATGCCCCATTTTCTGCCATCTTTCACCAAGCCTGAATTTTTCCCCCCTTTAACATGATGTTTGGCCCACTTTTTTCAAGGTCATGAAATACATGATGTAAATCTTTTCCATCCACCAGTTGGGTTTACATACCATAATAACCTGTTGCAAATGTTTTCATCTGTGTCGCTGTTATTATCCAAAACTACTTATGTAGTATGTCATATTTATATTTAATTTCAACAAGTACCACAACATAGGCCCTGGAGAACGCTCAGCATAGGAGTCTTTCATTACAGCTTCGTAAAACCTTAAAATGTCACCACCTGAATCTCTCTGACTGTATGAATATTTGGTAACGCTTTACATTAAGTGCACCTTCATAATGCATTCATAAGCAGCATGTAAGTACACCTTAACAGCTTCAATATACATTAATAACAAACATTACATGATTATACAATTACAGTATAATGTTTGTTATTATTATATAATGTTTGTTATTAATGTATATTACAGCTTTTAAGGGATGTTAGGATGTTGAGGTGTACTTGCATGCTGCTTATGAATGTTCTATGAATACTTAATGAATACATTATGAAGATGAACTGAACGTTTTATGAATCCAATATAAAAGCATTATGAAGGTGCAGTTAATGTAAAGTGATACAGAATATTTTGAGTGTACATGTGCACATTGTTCTAGTCCAGTCACTGTCATAGGGAGAAAGTGATGGTCAGAAAAGTTGATGACAATGAGACTTTACAACACACTCTTACCCAGCATCCGCCATCCAACAGAGCTGTGAATTATTACACACAAAAGGTGTGATGTCCACAATTATTGGCTGTCTTGCCCATAATGCCCACATAAACCACCCCCACTCTAACACGCACCTGCTTGCCTATTTTTTGATTATGCATATTACACATACGTCAGCAAGACACACTGCCACCCCCCCCAACCCAAACCCCTTGAAAGAAAATTACTTGGGCATATATCTGAACAACCAAAGGCTGTGCTGGAGAGCCAGTGACTGGGACTGAAAAAGACTTATTGGAGAAGCTATAATAACACATTATGGAAAAGAGGGGCGAGCAGAATTTTGGGGGGGTGGTTGGTGATTTTGGGTGTTTGGCAACCTCAGCTGACATTCGTTCGGCAGAAATCAATCCAGTGGATTGCAGTCTGTTATTCACAGCTCGATAACAGGAAAGCCAGTGGCGTACTCAAATTACAGCCCCATGACAGCCAGCTACCATAAATTATTCTTAGTAAAAAGGCAATTGTCGAAAGATATAGACTGGATTTTATTCCATTTGGGGTGAAATGGCATAATCGGCCATTCACAGGGAAACGAAAAAAGTCTATGTGGGTTCCTCTGAAAACTTACATCAATCTCGAAAGTTGTACTATTTTGATGGCAACAGGCAAACAGGAACCTCTGAAGACCAGAGCTACAAAACCACATTTACGTCTTTAGTTTTGGTATTATTGGGTCTGACGTGGAGAAAGATGCTCTAAAACTAACCAAAACTGGTTTGGACATGGCCAAGTAATGAAAACAAGAATGAGACTGTAAGAGAAAATAACGTGTAGCCGCAGTTTAAAAGTTTGTTTTTTATAATAACTTATTTTATACGAAGCCCCTGAAGTGGCGGAGCAGTACCTTCCACCATCTGGTCAACGTCCGTTATCTTTTTACTGCCGTCGATGGTGTAAATGGTCCGCACTCCCTGCGGCAGGTGGACATTGTCGCACAGGGAGCGGGTGAGGTCCTCCAGCAGGGTGTCGAAGGCGCGGAAGCGGTCCCGGGAGACTGCGTAGACAGCGCCGTTGAAGTGACGGTCGCCGTTGCGGTAGAAGCGCACCTTCTTGGCGCGCTTCTCGGAGCTGAGCGCCCGCAGCGTGCGCGCGCGGTACAGGCTGCAGTGCGCGCTGTGGGAGGGGCTCGGAAGCCCGTTGGCTCGCGCTGCCCCGCGCCCGTGCCGCCGCGCCTTGTCCCGCTCGTCGAAATGCTCCAGTTCCATGCCTCCGGCCCGGGTCGAACTCATATGGGAGCAAAGGCAAAGCGAAGATCACCCGAGGAATGACACCTATTTAGGATGAGTGGAGAGGCAAATGATGCAATTATAAGTATGTGACAGGTAAATGCTTAAATTGTTTTTTTTTTTTTTATCAAAAATTGCATATGTTACTTTACGCTCCGATTTGTGTCTGTAAATAACTTTGTAATGAGAAATTGTGAGGTTTTCTCTTTGTAAGCTCTAGGTCGTGACGAGCTTCAAACATCTGCTGTCACGACCCGCACAAAGCTTCTGAATACGAAACACGTTACTAGCTGCGTGATATCTACTGTAGGTGACATTTACTTAATATGTGCGATTGCAGCAGAATAATGAGAACGCTTATTGCAAATAATAAACACGACGGATTTTAACCTGCTGCAAATAAATATAAATGCCAAAACTTTCGGAGTTGTAGGTTATAAAATGAAGGCCAAGAAAACTGTAAAAACTGTTAAAATTAACTCTGTTAAAGGGAAGTAGAGCAACACATGCCTGATATATAATTACACGCCAGTATATCAGTATGTTTTTCTTATATCTCCTAAACTGCTGTCAGAAACAGGTGCGGTTTTGTGTTCGTTCTGAGTAAAGCATTAGAAAAGATTCGTGATCCGCTTACCGTCTGGATGACGCTTGATCCAGCCAACACGTTTTAAACGGGGCACTTCCCAATTCAAGACCAATAACCGAAAATGGTCCCGCAGTTTATCAGCCCTGACCTGTACGTCTCTGTCGTCCCGCGGATCTCCGTTGTTTTTAGGGAGGCGAAGGAAGCTGGAGTGCGGCTGCTTTCATCCGTCCGTCGAGCGATTGCTGTAATTTGCATTAGCCAATCCCTCTTTGAAACACAGCCCATGAGTCGGAGTCAGAGCCCCCCTCCTCCTTTGCACGGTGTCCCCCGAGGTGTTCGCCTGTCGCGCACCGTCTCCTCGCCATCCGCCTGGACAGACGCGCTTACACAATCTCTCTTTATCACATCTGCGCTCAGCATACCGTAGACATCGCATGTGTTTAATATGTTACATGTTTGCAAAACATGCATATAAGTTAATCGCAGAATGACCTTATGGGTTCATGTAACTGACGATGTTTTATTAGTTTTTCATATGTATAAAAAGGCGTAACAATTGAGGTTATTGCGCGTATAATTAATAGGAGATGTCTTTAATACGTATGCAGACGATTCACGCCGCAGGCTGTAGCGGGCTGCGGATTCTTCACGCTGCCTCAGCGCCAAGCGATGCCTTAAGGTCGCCAGAAAGAAACAGCTGGGGTATCTGCAGCCAGGGTGTCTGTGTAAATGTTTGTGCAAGATAATGATAATGTATTATAAAGAACAGAATTTGTTTTCCATGGCAATTCACCAGCGTTACAATCTGTGTGTTTTGTCGTGAAATATCAATCTGTGATACAGCATTATATTCCACCCCCGGCAAAATACAGAAGTCGATAGATGTTAAAAAAGACAAGGGAATTACGGTTTTAATAAAATGCGCAAAGCAATAAAGAACGAGTTAAACGTGGTAAATGTGCCACCTCTTCTGAAAAATAAAAGCTCAGGTTGCCTCCTCATATCTAGTTGATTTCTGCAGTGCTGGCGATTAGCAGGTAGTACTTTTCCAACCGGACCTGCTCCCGCTGCCCAGTCCTCTTCAGGCAAACCCTTAGGGACCTAAGAGACTGCAGCTTCTGCCTCCAGCCTGCCGTCTGGGAGAACACGCTTTCCTTCCAGCCCATTAAAATATCCAGCAAGGTCACTGGAATCTCTTTTGCAGTCAAATAATGAGATGCTGGGTCTGAGACATCCCAAGCACCAGAAGAGACTGGATAAGAGTCATTTCAGTTCATTCACAGAGCGTGAATGGTATTTGCAATGTTTTCAGTCTCTGTTACCACATTTTTAATGGGTAGCATTAGCATCAGCTCAACTGACAAGTCATGGAGCCTTTCTATGTGACATTTTCCCAGTGTGTAGTTTACCAGTCCGTTTTACTGGTTTTTAATGGAAAAACTCCAGTGTGTGTGTGTGTGTGTGTTCCATAAATCGCTGAGAATTTGAGCAACATAACCAAGTGAAGATTCTCTTGAACTAAAATCTTTTCGGCATGTATTGTTCAAACCCTAAGTATGTAACATCGACAATCACAATACAAAACATTTTATTTATGTTTATAAAGGATTTGATTTCCTGTAATGAACTCGTAAGTAAGGTCACAGGACAGACATGGGCAGAGGATGATGATGGTTGGCTGCATGGGTAGTTTCCGGTAACTAGGCCACACGTGCATGACTCAGGAGACTTACAGCCATAGAGGGTCAGTGGAGAAAATAATGATGCCAAACGCACAGTGTCAAGTATTAATGGTTGGGGATGCCAGGCGAGATGACAGGGAGAGTGGGCCTCTCATTGGCTACTTCTGACCGAGAGAGAGAGAGTGCTGAGAATGTAATTTACTGCCTGAGACTGTGTCTCACCCAAAAACATTGACCATGTTTGGATTTCTCAGACTGTATTGCTGTGAAATGACAGAAGGAAATGAATAAATATTAATAATAAACATTTGCTGTTTTTCCATTTCCAAATGCTCCATTTTGTTTGTCAGTCGTTGTTGGAAAGTTTCGTAAGTTTCCCGACTCCCGTATACACTGGCAACAAAAATCTTGGTTTTCCTCATGTTGAGCATCTTGAATTAAATTGTCAACAATGAAGAGGAGGAATGAAATAAAAAAAAAAATAAAGGGCACTTTCAGAGCTGAGGCAGGAAGTCAACTGCTTTCAAGCCAGACAGAGAAAAAAAAAACATGAAATGTGTTGACCTACTTCCACCCCCCCCCCTCCCTGATAGTGCTATCTGGTCTTCTTGATGTTTGGATTATGACACAGGCTGGAAATCTCCAAGCATTCTGACAGAGATTACAGGCAGCATGCCACTGGTTACTCTCTGCAAACGGGTCTCCAGTGAGGCGTATCTAAGCACCAGAAATACGAAACCATGTGTATGTGTATCATGTGGGTGCCCCCTCCAATCTCTCCTGACAGTATAAATGAATTCCGGACCTCATTTTTCCATTCTCACATTCAAAGCCACCCTACCATGTTAGCCTTTGTGCCAAATGGTTTAAGTGTTCAGTCCATCTCACTCATAATTCAACAAACATCACAGCAACTGCTACCAGGCATACAACCCTACACTGTGTAGTGCCAGACATGTCCTGTAGGGGGTGCACATTGTTGCCAGCCATTTCTCGTATCATAGGGAAGGTACTTTTGTATATATTCACATTACTCATTATGACGGCAGTGTTGGCTCAAGCTCCATGTCTTTCAAAATTGGGGAGGAAGTTCACCAGTGTTGCAGAATGTAACACAGACAAATTATTCATGAGTCTTTACCTAAGACAGTTGCTGATCGTTTGCCTGAATAGCTAAATGTGAAGTCCTGTGATGGGTTGAACCTGCAACTCCACTGTGTCTCCTGCCGTGGGCCCTGTGGGCTCTAGGCTCACCACAACCCTGTGCGGATGGATGGATGTTGAGATTTTGGCATGATATTCACTAGAAAAGGCAGCTAAACATATTTCACTGACCGAACAGAGTAAGAACGGCCATCCCACTAACTTCCATAACCATGGAAAGAGGTAATTTACCAAAAGGAAAATCAAAATCCTTTATTTAAGACAAACACAGTGACAGTAGTTTTCTTAATGTGATTAGATCAGCATGTTAGTTTTGCAGCTGGATTCTGTATGACGGACATCACAATAAAACTATTAAAAACAGCTTTTTAGAAGATTTTGTTTCAACCGACCAGTTGAGTATTCTATCACTGTGACTCTTTATGCTCAACTGGTCGGTTGAAACAAAATCTTGGTCTGGATTTATACTCTCTAAACCTGAAATTTCCGCTTCTGTGTATGAGAATGGATGTTCTGCTTTTATTGCCATATTCAAGGATTTAAAAGTGTAGGTGGTATAGATATGTAGTCAGAAAATTATGCAAATACTGTCAGAGTGTGACACAGACCAATGTGATCGTGGGAAATGATTCTGACAAGAGGAGTGACATTTGGAAGCAGGGAGTCGGGGGGTGTGCACACTCACGGTGAATCTGTCAGCTTGGCAACGTGGAAACATTTACGTCTTTTTCAGGTTGTGTCACTAGTGCATTTCGCTTCAGGTAAAGACAGATTCACTGGTTTTAACAGTTAGATTTTAGGCAAAATCAGATATCCTAGATTTTAGATAAAAACACTATAAAATACCTATTTTATCATAAGTGCTATTTACATTTGTTACTGAAAAAGGTGAAAATCAGAAAAAATATTTTAAAATACACAAGCAGTGCTGCCAGTCAAATGTTTTTCAAAACCCTGTATTTTCACATTTTGGTTAAACTTAACCACATCAGCAAGCAATGCAGTCGTAGTAAATAACCTATCAGAATGATTTTAAGAAAAAAGAAGGTGAAAGTGATGACATGACCTGCACATGATCACCTGATCTTTGCGTTGAATTGATTTGGGTTGATATGGATAGAATGCTGGACCCTCTGTGACCCGAATAGGACAAGCAGCTACAGAAACTGGATGCATGCATGGATGGTTGGATGGATGAAATGGTCAAGGCTACATTTGTGGGCACTTTTCCAGCAGCATTGGAGTGAACTTCAGAAAAATATTGCATAGTGTTTGTTCAATTGTAATCACTGTAAAAGATGACCATTTTGATGAGTGCACAATGTAGCCATTTTTTATTATTCCTGTTTCTTTACATTTATTTGTTTAGTTGATGCCTTCATCCTAAGTCATATTAACTTACTATTTAGTAAATGGCATTTACAATTGAATTCTTCTGTGACTCTTTATGAATGTATAAGATGGACAATGAACGACCGGAAGAGGATCTAGAATATTACAGAGCTGATCTCTGGAGCCATTCACCTCTGCAGGGGTTTTAGATACTCAGTTGCTTAAATGTAGGATTGGTCTTCAGTGACTTGCTTCCAGGGGAGCTGAACGTCTGCTGAAAGGAATCTCCTCCACACCGGGACCTTCTGTGCTGTTTTGAGAACCTTATCTCTCACATCTCCAAGCTAATTTTGCTGGTCCGGAAATTCTGCAAGAGGCAGTAATTGCTTTAAAAGAGGATGCAGGACGACCAAAAGCACGCACACTACTCATCTCAGTCTTTATAACCAGGTAGTTTTTTTTATTATTATTCACAATGCACAACCACAGGAACCTGGCTCAAAGGTTTGCTGGTTCGCGGGTGACACAGTTAGGGATTCTGCTTCAGACATGGGACACCTCCCCTTGTCTCCCCCGGGGTGGTCCCTAGTGAAATGAGACCTTATGTTTGGCAGCCCCAGTACACTGTTGCATTATACGGGCCCATTGTTACAGTTGTAGTTAAAGGTCTGAGGGTATGTGGTGGCAAAAAGGGGGCAGTATAGTGGAGTTAGGAAGAGGCTTGGCCTACGGGTGACGTGGTTCAGGTTAATCCTGGGGTGGAAGAGGGGTTTCACAGCAGGAGGGGCCAACGGGGGTGGGGGGGGAGGCATAGTAAAATTTGCCGAGGGGTTGTTGGTAAATTGTTAAGAATTTTGCATGATCTTCTGTTATCTAATGGGGCACTCGGTAAAAATTGCTGGCAATTTGATCACTCCTGATAACTCATGGGTTCACAGTTTGGAAAAAACCATCATAGCAGAAATACCAGTTTGCAGGATAATATGCAAAATTGTCCCATTTCTTCATAGATAGAGAAATAAGTAAATAGCAAAGTGAATTTAAGGGTCAGAATAAACATGCAACGCATTAAAAAATCCTGTGAAACTCGCAAAAGAGCACAAACATGAAAAAGCTTTAATTGTACAATTGTTGATTGATTTTACGGAATGTATAAAAGAGGGAGATAAAATCATGAAACATTTTGAATGACGTGGGTTGGTGCTAGAGAAGTGAAACTGTATTTACAGCTTGTGGCCAGCAGAGGGATACATTCACAGCTGGGCTCTGCAGGGCTTCAAAACAGCGTTGCTAAACTTAAAAAAAATCAAAAGAATAGCGGTGAGAGTGTGTTGAATATATAGAGATTCCTGAGGGATTCGCATAGGACAGTTATGGGAGACTTTTGCGAGACCAGCAGGCTCTGTGATGAAAGTAAGACAACATTTAATGGTCATAAATTCCTGTGACATAATGATCAGTCTCAGTTTCCACCAGCAGCATAGATTTATCATGTGTCCAGATTCTGGGCAAAACTAGAACCATCTGGTACTTAAACAGAAATATCTGCCAGATTGGACCTACAGAATGAACGCGCTGTGTGTTACACAGAAGTACAAAAACAATGTTTTTGACATCACTTCCTGTTCCTTCAAATGATATCAGCAGATTCAGTCACTAGAATTAAATATCTGGGCCTCCTTTTGTGCTAAGATAGCCTGAATGATAATGGCAGTGGCGTTATGCGTGCCTGTAATGATCAACATCCAACCGACATTTTGTGTGTTCTTGTGTCTTTTCATATTTTCTCATAATTAGTGCTACATACCTGCTAAGTAATAGCTTATCCCCTCCAGGTTTTCGGACCCCGCAGTCTTCCAGTTCCACTGTCTGAGTCTTGATATAACCTGATAAAATAAAATTCCTAGGGTGTCCAGCAACCCTACTGACAGGTTCATGCCAGTTGATTGGCCTCTTTGCCATAAATATATTTTGTCAGGGGAGTGATCTGACCTTTGCTGATTGGGAAAATAATAAACAAGCAAGAACAAACAATCATATAAGCGAACAACCAAATAAAGTTGGTCAGGGGCGTCACCCTCAATATTTTCTGATGGGGGCTTGGTAGGTTCTGCCGAATGGGGGGTGGATTTTGCCAACCAGAGGCCTGAAGCTTATTTCTAGGGGAGTGTAAACTCGTAATTTTACTACCTAGGTACCTGCCTGATCGGTAACAGAAACATTTGCGTGGGGAAGGGAGACCCGTTATTTTACTACAGAGCTACATGCTTGCGGTACGAATCTTCAAGTAATGCCACAGTAGGCTTCTAACTGAGAATATTCAGAGTATCCTGAACACATACTAAAGTATTTTCTTCTGCAGTTGAATGCTGGCAAAAGCTCAGAGGAGCAAGATATACACCCTGAGGAGACCTGGCACTATTCCTAGACAGCAAATCCAATTTGCGTGATCGATTACCAAGCACTACCAAGTGTGACATGATTTTTATTTCTGCACAGCACACAACAGCATCCCGTTAAACTAATACATGCAATTAAAATCTGATGAAGCATAACACCCTTCACTGCAGGGGGGAGACCTGGATTAAAATTAATTCGCCACAGTTACAAAGCAGAGATAGTCTGGCATCTACCTGTTGCCACTGCATAGCAATAGATTGATTTGCAGCCTCTGAGCCAGTGTTTAATACTTACTGGGTAACTTAGTTATGAAACTCACTGCAAAGTCATGAATGACAGACACTGCACAAATGTACCTTAAAGCAATGATTTTGACAGTCCCTCATTTGTAATCAGATTTTGGATTAGGATATTAAAAATTTTTAATACATAAATTACACGGCCAATATGTAATTTGTCACTTCATTACACAATAGTAAGTGCCATATTTTTCCTTTTTCTTATAATAAGATGTTAGGAGTAGTTAAGCTCATAATCCACCCTGTGGTGAAACAGATGCAGTGTGTCAGAGCCATAGATAAGGGCTGAAACGACCAAAATATCATACGCTATATAAATGACCTCTCCCGCATATGGAACATAAAAGAGAAGAATGATTTATTTCCTTCAGTGTTTTCCCTTTGGTAGCCGATCTGCACTAGACTTTGTCCTCAGCCCTGTTCCCTGCAAACAGAATCAACCGCCTACTCATTTCTTAGTCTATGGTCGCTTAGGAGGAAAGACTAGAAATAAAGACATATTTCAGATTTAAAAAAACGCTACTACGTGAAACCAAACGCAGAGGGATGTTTTTTTAAGGTGTGGTTTGTTGTTTTGTGGCTTAGGGGGCACTCATTTAAAGTGATGTACACAGAGTAAAATTTTAATGTGCATAAATCTGAAGACGAATACCAAAAATATAGCAGAAAGTAATGTCAAAAAATATTACATGCTTTATTTTTATTTTATGGAACATAAAATTTATTTCCTCGCACATCCATATGCAGTCTAACATATCTTGTATTCCCAGCCAGAGTGTGACTAAAACAGCTTTACGTGACATAGGGGCCTGAGAGGGGGAACTGAAATGGCTAATCTGTTACATAAATGTACCATCGTCCTCAGTGGGGATGATGTGCGACTCCATGGGTTTGGATTCTTGGATGTCTGGAAGGTTGCTAGTTCGAATCCCATGGCCAGCAAATTAATCATATAACTGCGAGGCCTTTGCTGCTTAAGGTTTGAGGAACCTTCATTCACACCGACTGAACAAGCACTTACAGCACATACAGTTATCCAAGCAAGGCCAACGTTTGACACCACAAACCCACAACGCTCCCGCTACTGAAGAAACATTGCAATGCTGTTATTGAGAGAAGACTAAACTGGTAAGTTCTACAAGTAGAAGGTCTACTTCTTCTACACAACGTCCAGAATCTCGCAAGGCCTGATGTGGTTGGGGAGAGGAAATAAGATATAGGGCATGATGTTCTGTTCCCATTAAGATGTAAACAAAGTGGGTGACAATTCGATAGTCAGTCCCAGTCAGTCACTCTTTGTCAGCTGGTTCTACATATGCTATTTTTGCTGCTTAGCTGGTGAGAAGGTACCTCGGAGGGTCCTGACACTGCATAGGGATTAAAAAGCAGGCAACATGAGCCCAGGTCACATCCCTACTGTCCCCACCGGGGTTTTAAACCGGTAATGTATACATATATCGCCTTTCCCAGCTAACAAAATGACGTCCTTTCAATGTCATCTGAACGTCGACAAATGTCATGAAAACGTTTATAATTGACGTAATTTGGATGTTATTTTGTAGGGTCCTCGGTACAGGATAGACGACGTCATTTCCGACGTCCTTACCACGTCTTCATGACTCCCTTTCAACGTCCTCTGAACGTTGACAAACGTTGTGAAAACGTTTTTTATTGACATCATGTGGATGTTATTTTGTAGGGTCCTCGGTACAGGACAGACAACGTTATTTCTGACGTCCTCACAACGTTACCATGCTATTTCAGAAACAGCTATACAATGTTGTTTTTTGTCTTTTGTAGGACATTTTCAAATGATTTATTAATTTATGTATAGATCATACATAAATTCGTAAGCTAGAAAGACTAATTAAAAACATCCTATTAATCAAATAAAACACTTCATTAAAAAAAATATATAAAACAGCATTTTTTAACCATGGCAGAAATGTCTAAACAATTTAAGCAGTTTAACATAAACATACAATTAACCATATATATAAACAAAACAAACCATTATATATGCAATATATAATTCTAAATAATTATAATATATATTTAAATCCCGTGACCCAAATGGATAAAGCGGTATGGATAATGGATGGATATATATTTAAATATGAATAATGCATTAATTCCATATTTCAATCATCTCACTTTATTAACATCAAAAACTTTAATGACTTTAACATTTAATAACATTCTAATGTTAACATTAACAAGCAAATTCATCCGCTTCAGGTCCCTGCTCCATTTCCCTTGTATCTCTCACTGCAGCATCATCCTAGGAGAACACAGAAGAAATAGTTACAGAAGACCATACAGTAGTTTACCTCTAAAACTGAATACATTCGTTAGATAACCTTGCATGGTATGAGTGGGATAGGTGTTATGAACCATGCATGTAAGAACACACATATGTCTTAATGACATTTATACAACTATTCAGTGTTAAGATAATAGTCTCCCTGAAGCAAGTTGAGGTTAAGGGTCTTGCTCATTAGACCACCAACAATATAAAAACATCTCCATACCTTCTGAGATCCATGGCCTGGACAGTGCTTTAGTGTCACTGCAATTGAATTATCCATGGTGAGGTTGGTTGCTTCAGCATGAGCTTTACTGCATGCAGCTACAGTATTTGCAAAAGACAGACACACACCCACACACACGTTACCTGATGTAAATATGTAAGAAGTATTGCCTGTTTTGTCTGATCATAAGTATACTTCAGTTTTGCTTAAAATATGTCATGTCAAAGTTATCTAATTTGATTGCATGACTCATGTCTACAGGGTCTTTATATGTCTGTTTTTTTAGGTCTTTATTATTATTTATTATTTCTAGGGTTATATATACTTACATAAGATCACATTGTATAGCTCCAACACCTAAGGATCTTTTCCCTTTCCTCCCCTTCAAACTGTACTCTCCCCACAAGGCACTGGTCCCTATTTTCCTTAAGATGAGCCTCACTGTGTCTCCAACATTGTTGCCCCTCAGCAGGCTCAGGTAGTGGATCTACAAAAAAAAAGAGTATATTTAAATCAAATTAAGATATAAACACTGCAGAATAAAATTCCTTTTCATGTAACAACATGTGTGTACTACATATAGAGAAGAATGGCAAGTTACTGATTAGTCATACATTTGAAATCAACACATCCTTTCTGATTACGTAAAACATTTTGACCCATATTTTGTCACTGGATTTACTAAGGAGTAATAATTTAGTATGAAAAATTATTCTTTATACAGATGTCTATTTTACAGTGTTAATGTGGAGGCAAATACCTTACCATTTTTCTTCTGTATGCCAGGTTGCTGCACAGGCCTACTATATCCTGTTGAGTCTCACATGGTTTCTCCCATATCACTTGTTCATGTGATGGGGAGGGTGCAGATATTTGTTGTAATCCTTGGATTGCATTCTGAAAGTCATCCTGCATCCTCTCTAACTTCATCATAATTCTCTTTTCAGAAGCCTCAATAAAGCTCTTGATAGCTGGGGGGGAAATTAATTTAACAGAGTAATTGTAAAATACTGAAATTCCCCTTTAAGCAACCATTTGAGGTCTTACAAGACCATGGAGCCAAGCATATGGCTAGGCAAAACATACATTTCAAAATGTATGCAGACAGGCAATATGTGGCATAAGCAGGTCAGTTCTGCTATGAACCTTGAAAACAAAATAACTAAACATAACTAAACAAATGCTTGTGTGGTTTTGAAGTGATACACAATTAGTTGGCAAATGCTCTCATCCAAAGCGCCTTTCAACTGAGTAAGATGTGTAAAAGTCAGGATACAGCCAGATTTGAACCAAAAAACACTTGGGCCATATCAGAGTATCCTACCACTAGAACGCCGTTCTGTGATGAAAGTGGTATTTCCCAATCATTACACCTAAAACCATGGGAAGGAGTGTAGGGTAAGGTGAGAGACATCAAATAGGTAGGTGATAATCCACTGACTGTTCTGCGGGAAAATTGTAGGAGTCTTAAATACTGACATATGCTTCTACTGGGAACTAGTGCTGCTCCAAACGATTATTCTTTAAACGATTAATGTAGCGATTTTTTTTCTCTATTTGACTAATAATAGTCGATTACGTCAAATAGTCGTCCTAACCCTACTGGGAACCAATAGAGTAAGATGAGAGGGGGAGTGACATGTGAACATCTCGATTGATTGACTGCATTTTGAAGTATCTACAGTGGCTTGGAAGTGCATGGAAAGAAGGTCCATTTATAGTATAAATTAGAAATGACTATACTGTACCTTGTAAGTTGGCATCATGCATAGAAAAGATAGAAGTAGGTCTGACAACTGGTGATGAACAAACTTAACACAAGACATAAAATACAGTTCAATTATAACATTTGTTTATAAAAAAACACCAGACATCAAATAATTATACTGTGCTATGTAATTAAACACCTACATTCGGGGGGAGCAGGTAGTGTTCTTTCTCTGTGACAGTATCATCATATAAATAGAATTATATAAAACGTGATTCATTTTCAATATGAAAGTATTTTAAAAAATACAATTCTAGTACCTTGTGAACTTCCCTTGTCCAAAGAAGAACTCATAGTACCTAGTGGGATATCCACAAGTTAAAGTTTTACTAATTAGAAAATAACAGCCTTATGCTCTTCAATCAAACCTTTGCAGTGACTTTTGAATTTCTTTTGACAAGCTAATCAGAGTTATGCAGGGTTTGTTACACTGAGTTCTATATTAAGGTTATATTGGCTGCTATATTAGTGCAGTGCCTTTCAAAACGAAATTCTATTGGAATTAAGGGTGGAAGGCAGATAAAATAAAATAAAACAAACAAAAAAAAACAGAGTTAATCTGCCTTCCACCCTTGCTCCTCCACAAGCAGCAATGTGAGCAGTATCAACAGCTGTCAATAGAAAATAAAATCGGCTTTATTTTATTTTGGACAACAGCAAAGCTTCCGCCCTCTGTTTCATAGGGTTGGAAACTCGTGAACTTCCGCTATGTACTCGGAAGTTGTCGGGGTGAGTGTCTGCACTTTGAAAAGAACCGCGTGCAATTCTGGCAGGAGCTAGGGGACCGACATTTCAGGGCTTAGAAAGGCGACAAAAGCAATGGATTTAATGACCGAAGAGACCAGACATGGATATAAGACAATAGCAGAATTACTAGGTATGAAAGGCACGAAGTAACCTATAAAAACGAACTGAGGCTGCTAGGCGATATAACCAATGGTCAAAGTGCAATTCTCAGTATTTAGCAACTGGAAACTGTAATAATGGTTTACGGTGCAATCCAAGTACGTTTAAACCAAAGTACGACGTACATATCGATGTACAGTAGCTAGTGACTCAGTCCTCATATGGATGAGGTAGCATGTTTAGTAAAATGCTCCGTTGCACCCTGGGTTGCCAACTCTCCCGCATTTGCTGTGATATGATTTCAAACGCTCACGCAAGATATCTAACGGCAAATCTATATTATTCCGTTTGAAAACCTAATATTAGCAACATCAGAAGCGTTAGGGTAGTTTGCTAACCCTATAAACTATTTACAATGTAATATAACTGTTACGTACATGTAAACGCGTGTGCATGTGTGCGCAGACTTGTCTCTAGTTGAGAATCTCACGCCAGGCAGCTGATCAAAGTTGGCAACCTCGTTAATGTCATCGTATAATTTGCCGTCCAAAAAAAACGGGGATTCTGTAACTGCAATCTTTCAGACGTCAGTAAGTGTGCATAGCGATATCGTGACACTAGGTGGTGCTATTTACCAATACAACTCCATTGTGCACGAACTATCGTTATGGCTGTATTTTCTTAGACAAAAGCGTGTAACATATTTGTGTCGAGTACGGTGTGCAGCGCTATAACGTATAGCTTTTATTACTCGTATTGTTTTGCTAGGCAGAAGCAGTTTAAAACGATTTGCTGTTTGCATGTATAATTTCTTGCATCGTGTCTGTCAAAGAGCAACTCACACAAGAAGCAAGCAAACTTGAAGAACATCAGAAGAAGCTGACCGAGCACAATCAAGCCCTCGGCGATCTTAACAAGTCCTTTAATGAGGTATATGCTTGTATATCCCTCAGCATACCGAGTAGTATTTACTGACAAGCAATAAAATGGCAAACAGAATAAAGAAAGACATAACGAACTAACAGAAGCAAGTGTTAAATTGTGGTCCAGCTTAGATGTACATTTACCAACAATGCTGTGTGTACTAAAACTGTTTATGATGCTTTGCAGACCCAGTCAAGACTGAAGCGCCTAGCGATGATTAGGTGTGGCAGCCATCTACTGAACCTTTAAATGTCATTGCTTACACAAATAAAGCTCATTTGCTTCCATCTTCTCCATATGTCAATTTTTATCAGGCTCCCTCCAGGTTTTGACTTTTCATATCAATATGAGTATATTGAATATCACATGACATTAAAGGAATGTGTCATGATGTACACAAAAAAATAGGCTTGTATTGTTAAACCTTGAAACTTTTTACTAGCCCAGGTGACAAAACGACACGGGAGGGAAGCATTGTTTGACCATTTATACATTTTGGGCAGCAGCTGACATTGCAGAGCATCTCTGGAAATATGATCCCTCATTTTCCCTCCACTAGTCTGTTAAACCAACTTCCCAGACCAGGATCAGACTGAGGATGGATGGATAGGTGGTTTGTTAGTCTGGACTTACTTTCAGCTTACTCAGTAAAGTATTATGAGATGGAATTTAAGGCTAGTTGCACTCCGCTTCAAATATGGGAATTATACAGTGCACTAAAGGTCATATAAAATATGTATTACATAAGCATGCATGAAAAAATACAAGGCATGAAGAAAAAACCTTTTTCTGGTGCTCGGGGTTTCCTACAAGGGCACAGGCCTTCTGTTAAACCTGCAGTTTTTTGTTTTTTTTTTATAAAAGTCTCCAAATCCAGCTGTTCAAAACTGACAGCAGCATCACCTCCACTGACTGTGCTGGCCCCCATCCCAAGTCTGAACTGCAAATAGTTAAATATGACACAGAAGGCAACCAGGAAGGGAGTGACCTAAATGAGGAAGGTGACCACCGAGTTGTAGAGTTCAAGAGCAAGTGTACAGTACCGGTCCATAGGCATCACGGCGGCGTTGATGGTTTTGGATTTACCAATAAATTTCGGGGAAAGAAAAATCACATTCCATCTGGACTGAGATACGTGGAGTTAAAAATGAGCAGCAGCAGTGTCTTATGGAAAGAAAAGAGGAGGCACACAAGTGCAGTTATGAAGTTTATTAACAGAAGGTGCCCCCCCCCCACACCACCTCACCCAGACAGGAAAGAGACCCAACAAATCCCTAAGGCACCTATTAATCCTTTACAGGTTTGGTGTTGCAAGGAGGGTCTAGTATGTTTTCTATACCCCTAAACCTGAAAAGGAAAACAGAACCTGATTATTTTCCTTCAATAGTAGAAAAAACTTCAATAATCCACAAGGTAAAGAAACAATTATACTACAAGCAACTATTCCTCAAGAGGAAAGGTACATAAAAACAGAAAAACATAACCCGTTATTAGGGCACCCTTGGAGAGAGTAAATACATACTTATGCTTCACGGTGGAGACGGTCTCTGATGCCACGCTCTTGCCAATATTCGTCGACGCCAGTTCCAGTCCGGACCACACGGTTGCAAGTCCTGCGGGATTCACATTATTGGCTCATTTAAAAAAAAAAAAAACCCCACAGACAAGATACCGAAGGTGTGCAGTTTCTCGCTCCTGCGAGAGAAATGGACCAAGGAGTCTGTAAAATCATCTCTGTAAATCCTAGGGCAAAAACACCACCATTACCCCCGTTCCAAAAACAGTGCATGCCTTAATGATGACCGCTCAGTGGCACTTATTCCCACTGCAATGCAGTGCTTTACAAGGCTGGTGCTGGGGCACATTAAGGGCATCATTGCTGGCTGCATCCCCTCCAGTTTGTCTTCCGCCACAATAGGTCCTCTGAGGACGCTGCATTTCCATCTGTATTGACCTCTATAGTCCACTTGCATAATACAAATATATGCAAGGCTATTGTTTACGCAATGCAGCACGGCATTTAACATCCCATTCAGACTGATCCCCAAGCTCCTGCACCTGAAGGACCACGCACTGCATCTAGATCCTACCCATCCTCACTGGCAGACCCTAACACATGCACGTGGGCAGGAAAACCTCTTACACCCTGATCTTTAACACTGGTACTACCCAGGGCAACGTGCCGAGCCCCCTTCCGTTTTCCCTGTACGCACGATTGTGTGACCAGACGCAACTCCATCATCAAACTCATTGGCAGCACTATCCTATACCCAATCATCAACGAGAGGGTACGAGTTCCCCAAAGCAGCATCCAGACAACAAGCTCTCTCTGAATGTCAACAAGACTTGGGAGCTGGTCAACAGCTTCAACAGCAGGCAGGTAACCATCCCATCTATACTGGAGGACTGCAGCTTTAAATCCCTCGGAGAGGCGCCGGGAGCCAACCATAAGCGATCACAGCTCACCGCAGCCGCCGTGTGCACGACTCTTCAGCAGCCGCACTCCCTCAGGCCTCTAGGGAAGGCGTGAATGTGACCAACAATCCCCAGAAACCTCTACTGGCGCCCCGTGAGGTCTATCCTAATGGGGCACATAGCATGCGGGCATGGCAACCGCACAAGGCCACGAGGAACCATGTAACGCGGTGAAAGCGGCACAGAGCATCGCCGGCCATGCGCTTGTCTCAGTTTACTGCTCAGCCCAAGTTGGCACCTTGACAGCTGTATGCCCGAGATTTAGCATCATTTTAGACAAAAGCTTCTGCTAAAATGAATGTAAATATAAGACTATTTAAACAGCAGTGTTTGCACTTTAATAATTATGCTACCAAACGACAAAGGTAACATAATCTACTGCTGCAGTCACATGCCACTTTTTCACGCATTCATCTTGCACATAATACAAGGTTATACGTGTTCATCATTCAATCTCATTCACTGTTCTCTGTACACCTATTGTTATGAATCAGTTGGTTCACATCCAAGGGAAAATTTCACTATATGGCACATATGACATAAGACTTTGAATTAAACTTGATGGTAGAACTACAGTTGATCGCCTTCCGGTTCACGGTGTGATTATCCTCGAAATGGCTGATGTTTTGCTTGCAATTCTTCTCCATACCTTGCATCCCGCTGGCCGCCACCTTCATCGCGCCGTCGACGTTGGAGTGCCCGTTTCCAGTCTTCAGGGATCCTGGCACCAGCTTGCTGCCGTGCTTCTTAACATGCGGTGCCAGCTCCCTGCCCATGCAGCTGGCCACTGTGCAGACCCCGCCCACTACAACGGCACATGGACAGCTGTGACATCACTAAGTCTCACCCACTGGAGTAACATCAGACGCTAAACAGTTTTTCAGTTTAAAAACTATATATCTACAACGGCAAGGAAGGTGCTTAGTCCACATTGAAAATGAGCAGTGGAGATTTATTGCAAGCCCAGAAGAAGGATTTAATAACGCTATATACAGGGAGCCTGGACGCAAACCCCAAAGAGCTCACTGCACAAATCCACAACAGAAATTTAAAAAGGCAGAAAATGCCTTTTAGCAGCCATCCAAGTTCAAGGAAAGGACAGAGGGATGCGATCGTCAGACAGAGATGTCTTCGTGATGATACTCCACACAGGAGAGATTGGAGGTTCACGTTCTCAGATATGTGGAGTCGTCATCAACAACAGCCGTAGCAGTAAAATCGTTTCCGTCACTGGTTATGTCCACTCTGCAGTCCCCCAGTAAATAAACTGCATCATAATGACCCATTATAATCAAAGCGTTACATAATCGAATAAAGGTAGTCATTTCACAGAATCATTAACAACTACCCATACACCCATCCAGGGCTGCAGCAATTGCTTCTCACCTAAGTACTGGCTCACTTTGACAGCACCCCCCGTGGCCTGCTTGGCAACCTGGAAGCCTCTGGCCACACTGGCAGGGGCATCCTCGGGGGTGATATGCTCCCGCAGCTTGGACGCCCCCTTGTGGATGGCCTTCTCTGTGTACTCTGCTCCTTTTACCAGTCCCCAGCTCAGCCATGAAGCTCCTGTGCAGATACAAAACCAAAGATACCCAAGAAGATTAGATTCTGGTTTGCAGGGTCTTCCTGAAGGGAGGGGGCAGATCGGGGGGGGTGCAGGGTCACCTGTCAGAATGCCATGGGACACCTTCTCACTCCACTCTGGCAGTGTCTTCTCCTCCTCCTCCTCCTCCTCCTCCTCCTGCACACCCACAGCCTTCTCCAGGTCTGGTGCCTGATGGAAACATGCTTGTGTCTGAGCAGGAATCCTGTTCTACTTCCCTTGCACAAAGAGACTCAACCTGAACTGCTTCAGTGCACTAACCAGCTGCATAAATAGGTAGGGTTTGAATTAATCAAATTTTGAGAAAAAAAAAAACAATGCTAGTTAACTTGTAAGTTTACAGACTCCATACATTTGTCATATTAAATTGAAATCTTCTGTTTGTTCCAGCTGGAATAAGGGCAGAACTTCACTGCTCTTGGACTGAAGCTGTTTGTGGACTGAAGCTGTAATAGCCATAGTCCATACTACGGATGTCACAATGCCATTTCATTTGACTGAAGTGGCCAAGTTTTGACTCCATCCAGCTTCAAGGTGCTCACTGCTCAGCTAAAAGCAGTCTTTATCTTATATAAAATAAAATAGCCTTCTTCCTTAATACTTCTCAAAGTCACTCAAAGGCCAGAGCCTAATGACGCGATAAAAAAAATTATCATAACCACAAGAATTACAGGTAACTGTAGCAGATCTAGATGAGGGCTTAATGAAACCTACGATCTCTACGCTTGATACTGGATTCATTCAACCCCAGAGGTGGCTGAGAATGACCTTATTTTTTGCAAACAAGTTCTACCCCCCCATACCTCTCACTGACCTGGACTCTTAGGTCCGTCAGTTGTGAAAGCTGGTCCCGAAGCATCTTGCGGTCTGAGTCAGGCAACTCTGAGGACAGCACCACACCCACGTAAGACCCGGGAGTGACAGTCGATGTGTCCGGGAACATGAACAAGCCAGAGCTGCACTGCAGAACGGGGGTGTCTACAGACACGTCGTAAATCCAGTCACACACCTATAAAAATACATATACATTTCACATATTGCTTGGCTGCGTTTACATGAATCCCAATATCCATTCATTATCCAGTCATGTTTGAAATAATCCTGAGCCCATCGCAGTCGATAGATGCGAAGGTATATTTTTAATGGAAGGCCAGTTCATCACAGGCGCCACGTACACACAAGTACATAGACAGAGCTGGAAAAAAGTGCTAGACAGCTGCCTAGGGCCAGGTTGGCACAAGGGGTCCCAGACAAATTCACAAAAAAAATAATAAAATTAGGGCTGTCAATCAATAATAATAAAAAAAAATCGCAATGAATTAATCACGATTAATCATAATTAAAAACTGCGCCCTGCCCCACCCCTCTCTCCGAACACAACCCACCCCTCCCACTCACTCACAAGTCCTGCATGCAGCGACAACATGGAGACAGACACAGACATGAGGCAAGCTAGCGAAGAAGAGCTGGGGGGTATTTGACGAAGCAGGATTTCTTGTTTAGCTGCATCTTGTTTAGACTTAAGGTAGACGGTTATATAGTCCATTTAGCCCAGATTACCATAAATCCATCAAGATATCTGGCTAAGCAAGAAATCCTGCTTAGTGAAATACCCCCCTGGTTGGTAAAATAATATATGCCGGTGTTCTAACATTTCATCCTAACCTATGGAAACGTCCTACCTTTGGGTACTGCGCATGTGCACAATGAAATCAAGCCCCTTTTCTCATGCTTGAAGAACCGCCCACGGATCTATCCTACCTTGCATTTGAGTTATGGCTTATTTCTGTGTTTTCAATGTTCATACATTTTAAATATTTAATTAAATACACTGATCACACTTTACTGTCGGCATCATGCTGATTTACTACGCTGTATATGGAATTACCTGACATGTTTTAACACTTAATCTTATAAGGTATTTCACACTCGCAATGCCTGCTTACATTACATTAGTTCCTGTTTTTTAGACAAGTTACGTATTTATTTTTTGGATTTTCCGCTTTCAGTTTCAGCCCATAAAAACGACAATAACATTTTCGGTAAGGTAGCACCGATATAGATATATCTGTCGAAACATAATAAGGTAGGACAAATTGACATTTTTGAGCCATTTTTTCATGTACAGCTGTCTGTAAATAAATTGCCCATGACATTGAGGACATTTGGCTCTGACTTGGAACTGTCTATTTGCTATTACTTTATGGGAAGACAATACTGAGATATATTATTGTATATTACGCGGTTCAGCTAAAAATAGAGATATGATTTTTGGTCCATGTCACCCAGCCCTACTAAAGCTTAATATTAAATATTAAATGTGACATTAATCGCCAAATTAATGTAGAATAATCAGAAAGGATGTATATTTCAGATATAACAATGTAGTAGGTCATAAATGACAACAGTATAAAAAAAAGTATCTCTTGCAATCATTTTTATAATTTATATTGTTGCCCTATAATGCACTGATGCTGCTAATCACATGAATTGTATTAAAATGAGCATGTTAATTATTTTTAATTAATCGTGACAATTAACATGTTAATTTTGACAGCCATACAAAAATATGTATTACACAAATACTCAACTCCACCTATAAGCAGAATAGGTAGTTGTCTAGGGTCCCTAAATTACCTGCATTGTGGTGAAAGTCAAATGATCATAAATTTTCTTGGTAGGAGGGCCTCCCAAGTAAAGCATTGCTTAGGGCCACTGAAAAGGTAGAGCGGGCCCTAGCTACATCACTGCATAGTGATACACTATTTTTCATCCAGCCAATCAACATTACAGTTGTAGGTTGGACTAATGACAATAAAAGCCCATGTCTAACTTTCGCCTCTTTTCGAGGGTTTCTGTCCAGAACTGGCTCCGTTTATTTATGCACTAAAATTTCTTGCCAACTAAGACTTTGTACAGCTTTGGAAACAAAAATGCTGTGCTTTGGTGGTTTGTTCAGACGGGCCGGCTGGTGGGTCATCCCCTGTCAGCCAGTAACACCATGAAGTTAAAGAGACCCAAAGGCAGCCGGGCACGGTGCCCACTGGCTCAGCGCGTCCAAACTGCCAAATTGCTCTGGCTACAGTTGCCAACAAAACACCAACTGTCGCAAGAGCACTGGTGCCCAGGGGCCGATTCATCGGGATGGGACAGGGAATGTGCAGCGTGGTTCTGAGGGGCAGAGCCTAGCGAACACAACGGAATGACAGTGTCATCAGCCGCATCCTCTGTGTCAGCAAATTAAGGTCTCAAAGTGCCGGAACAGGCAGCGTCCAAATTACAGCGCCAGAGATAAATCCCACACCAGAGCTCCTGCATTTCAAGGCAAAAATAATAATAATAATAATAATAATAAAACAGGAAAAATTAGACCCAACAGCAAAGCTGAGTGTAACCTGAAAATTTGTCCAGCTCGATTATACGGTTAAGTCCCAGAATCCATCTCCAGCCACTAAGCTCTGGATTTCGACAAGGTGACAGACAAGCGGCACAGATCTCAAACCTCAAACCCTGTGGTGGCGGTTTTCCCCTTTGTGACCTTCCACAGTGCTGTAGATTTACCTTTTTTGAAATCCCTCTCTACAATACAATTTAAAGCCTTTAAACCAGAAGCTGAATTAAGGCCAATTATTTTTATATAAAAGATATTCTACCTAAATGAATTGTTTGTCCTGTATAGTGTTTTTCATTAAAAATATTCCTTTTTAACTGCTGTTTTATCAAATGTGTTTTGATTGCACCTCTTAAACGAGGCCTTGAAGATAACTTTATAGTCACCAAAGCCATGTATTTCTGGAGTGAAAGTGTATTAATCATGTAAAGAAGAAAGCGCATCAAATCCCATCTCCCTGCTCCCCGCAATCCCAGAAGGCTTTCCACTGTTGCAATAGCAAAGTAAAATTACTGGCAGCCAGGGCAATATCCCCTTCCAATATGCCACCCCACTGTTATACAGGCAAAACAACTACAGAAAATGTCAAGCCCAAACATATTACTGTAACTGGTCAGCAAGCAAATGGGGCACCATCAATAAAACCAGAATGAAAGAATGGTGTAGGACTCTGGACTTTCATATCTCCTGACACTCTGTGGTCAGGGAGATAAGAAAAGTCCATCATAGGAAAGAAATTTCTCCTAGAGATGTTGTGAAACTATCAGGTCAGCCGAGTTGTCAGTGGTGGCGGGAGTGTCTTATTTGAAAACACCAACATAGCCTGTAATCCAAAAGAATACGGTATTGCGACCCTTAGAGACAGAAAGCGCTTAAATCAGTCTTCTGGAGAGGATCTGCCCTGGTTCGCCCATCCACTCCATCCAGTCTCGCGGAGATGATGGGACGAACACAATATCAGCCCACAGGTGACTCCTGAGACTGCTGATGCAATGAGGTGTGGATCAAAGTCCGGCCAAAGACGACAACATGACCGGACTCAATAGCTCCTCAGGTCGATGGCTGGACATGCAGATGATGAAATATATGGGAATAGAAAATGCTGGAGAAGCTCTCAGGATGCGAAACAAAAGAAAAAAAAAAAAAGTGGACTGTATTGTATTAAAACTGGAAATGACATATATGTCAAAACATATTTGAAGATCGGTATCGTGTCAAGCCATAAACACCTTCCTCACGTACCTGCAGGATGGATGGTGAACCTCTGGAGGCAGCATCTGAGACCTGCTTGGTACGCCGAATGATGCGTAGGTGACCTGGGCAAGAAGGGGCACTGACCTCCCCATCGGGAGTGACAAAATATATCTGCACCCCCTTTGGGATGAAGAGGAGTTCCTGACCGTCCCGGACCAGAGACCGAGTGGAGGCAGGTGAATCAAGGTCCATATTTCCAACTAGAGTCTGCTGACCCTCCATGTTTCCACAGGAAATGGTGAGGTCCTCATCCAAGGCCAGGGGGGTGTGAGCTGGTGGTTCCCTTGCAGCCCCTCCTGTAGCTCCCTCGTTCGAGGACGATTTGGAGGGAGATGTCATAGACTCCAGTACAGCCAAGCGGGTAGAAAGGCTGTTCAAAGATGCTTTGGTCTTGTTCTGCATCTGTCGAGCAGAGTGCCCAACAGGGCCTTTACACTCCGCTCCTACACAATGCCCTCCCAGTCCCCGTGTCCCTCTCTTGTGGAGCCCTGGTGCTTTGGCACACTGCAAAACGTCACTCTGCTTCACAGCCTCACTTTGGAACTTGCAGGCCTTCTCAAAGACCTTCCTTATCGCCAGCACCCTGTCCGAATTAGTATGGGGCTCTGTGTTCTCCATTCTGGGAGGGTTTGGAGGTATGAGATAATTTGTAATCACTTAATACCCCTGGAAAATTCAATGGAACGATTAAAACGTCAAACGGTGAATAAGAAAAAAATGTATCTTCTGTGTCATTAAGAATTTGCAACATAAGAACGAGGGCCTTCAAGTTCCTATTTAAAGCATAAATTACGTAACTATATTGTTTAAAAAATAATCCCAAACAGACCGAAGATTTACTTTCCTCATATAAACAAACATCGCCTTGAATGGCTGCAAGCCACAACAAACACAGAGTATTTACGGCGAGTGTGTCGCTCTAATTGACGTCAGTTTTTTTTTAAAGTACCCAGAAGCAGGTTCGACTCATAATCTCGTCATTTAACACTTACCTACGAACCACAAAACCTCAATTTAATTACTCTTGCCCCATGCGTGACGATGTTGGATGACCGACTAGTACGCCATTCAAATAATCTTTTTAAATTGTCATAGTATTGCCCGACAATGTTTTTTTTTTTAAATTACTTTCCTACTTTAGCCAAACATCAAATCATGGTATACGCATGCAATTACCTGAACTTACCGTCACATCCCCAATTGCTGGCGAAGCCATTAACCCCAAATGACGACCATTCGCTCTTACACGGTGAATAGCTGATTTTAAAAAAACAGCAAACCGCTAGAGGTGATTCACGGTCACATGATCTTCGTGCCAAACAGCAATACCGTGCAGAGAGAAACGTGCGCTGCCCCCTCCCATTATTTCAGAAAGCATCATGCATGTCTGGTGCGCATGCAATCGGACTCTCACAGCCTAACTAGCCGGCGAGTAGCAACTTTATAAAGGGTACAAGGGCTTTGTGTACAAGTCCCCTGGTGGAGAGTAAAAAGATGTTAAATTCCTTTCAAACTTGCTCGAGTCAAAACGCTCTTTTGAAGACAGGGGCATTAGTCGTTAACGTTACGATTTTGCTCTGACTTAAGGTTCGTTTTATGAACGAATTCTGTTAAATATCAGCCACTTAAGGCTACACTCAGGGGGGGGGGGAAAAAAAAGGTAAAAATTTGCATCTTTGATATCGGGACTTTTACCTCAAGGGTCTCCCAATTGTACCCTTAGCTGCAGGTAGTTGTACTTTAAGGTACAGAAATGGACACGGAGGAACATTTTTGTATTATTGGTGTATTAATGCTGTTTGTACCTTTGGGATGTTCCTCTAAGTCTATTGCTGCACCTTAAAAGGTACAATTACAAGGGTACAGACCCAGGTTTTCACCCTTTGAGTGTAGCGTATAAGAATTTGGAATAATTCTTCAGTACTATGGTCATTGCACCCTTCAGACATCTTGAAAAGAGTGCAGGTAGTATCAATGCAGCTCATTTAAAACTTTGGGAATCTTCAAATCACAGCACCAGAATAGCAGTAGTTGAGCATGTGAAGTGGTTCACAATAATCATTCATGCAATGCACACAGATGAGTTTCCCGGGGTGGGGGAAGAATGAGAGGAGTAAAACCACACAGCCTTGGACCAAACTCTTGGTAACTTGCGTCATTTAATCAGTCATAAAAATGAATTACAGCACAAGACAGTCTCAAAATGGCAGAAGTATCCTGAAGTTGTTCCATCAAGTATGGAATCAATGCCATAGCCATGAGATTATAGAAGACACTCATACACAGGGATACAATCCCTACAAGGGGCAAGTCACTTAATTTTATTGTTCACTTGATAGCCTCCTATAGGAACTATCAGAGATAAACAGAAGATTAAAATTAGTTTAAAAACATTTCATAAACCCACATTTGCCTCTGCAGTTCATAGCTGGAGCCCCATCTGAAGAGGTAAGCGCTCTAATGTTGATCTACTGGAAGTAAAAGCCTAGCAGCATCAGTGGAGGGGGAGAGACTTTGGTGGAGGGACCAGAGCCACACTGCAATACCTGCAGAGAGAAACCAAAGTCAGCTTTGATTCATTATGCAGGATCCCATTAGAGCCAACAATACTTACTTTGAACTCTTGTATTTTTCTTGGACAGCTTGTTGGGGTCTGCTGCCAGCATCCAGGTACAGCTTGTGCAGTTCTTTCAAGCAGGGCAAGATTTCCACCAGTGTGTAGCCAGTGAAGGCATGTAGAGTATCAGGCTGTGGAGACAGGAGTGTTAGATGCCACTAGTCTTTGCGGCTCTACAGCAGCTCAAGCTTACCCAAAGAGTCTTGTTGATTGTGTAGTTCCCCAGGCTGTAGGCTGCAGCAGCGACCTTTGAGGGGATGTACTGCAGGAAAGGGTCGACTTCCAGCAGACTCAGTTCAGCTAGATACTATGGGGAAATGGAAGAATTCTACACCTGATCTACATGCATGATTTAAACAAGATGCACTATACACTGCAGGAAGCATCTTAATTACCAGGGCAAGATTTTCAGTCTTACTGCAGACAGACGCTACAGTGAAGAACTGCCTTAGGAACTGGTGAGCTGTTGGCACCGTCAGGTCAAATGCCAGGACGTTAAGGAGCAGCTGTTCCATTCTCAGGAGCTGCTTCTTGGAGTAGGTGTCATCAGTTACATATACAAGCTCATCCACATCTGGCGGATAGATCTCTTCGTATTTCCTGCAAGGAAGAAAGTTGTTTATGATACAGTTGAAGGCCACTGTGTCCAGACAAGCAAGCTCATGTACTTACGCAGCAACAAGAATGGCTGCTGCTCCCACTAGCTGAAGCTTCTCTCTATGGACAGACATACAGGACAGGAAGCGGTCCAGGTAGTTCACAGTCAGATGAAGGGTCTCAGTACAGAGCTTGTACTCTTCTCCAACATCAGCCAGCCAGTCCACCAGGATCACCCTCATGGAGTTGGTGATGTCTGGTTGCTTCTTCATGTATCCAGTCTTGGGTCTGTGTTTCACCTAGATAAACAGCACTCAAAACCAGGAAGAGGGGGGGACGGGGACTCCCAGCCACCCCCCCAGCATGCAATCTAGCATTTAGAATGAGGGTGTCAAACTCCAGTCCAGGAGGGCCAGAGCACTACACATTTTGGATCCCCCCCCCCCCCACTAACACCAACTTCTTATGCCAATTATCACACAGCTCTTGATTGGAATCATTTGTGGTGGAACAGGGAATTAACCAAGCTACATAGGGCTCCAGCCCCCCAGGACTTGAGTTTGACCCCCCAATTTAGAAGGTACACACTTCACTTTGTCGCAGATATGCATGGATATCCTCTGAATATTCCGTAACTGCAAAGAAGTCTTGTGATGTCAAGTCATCTTCTGGCTGAGATCGCATAGAGGCATCCAGACAGGATCCTGTGCAAAACCACACATTTAGTCCATTGACAAGAATTTAATTTATTCATTAAATATTTTAAAAAGTCTTTAGAAGGAAAAGTATATAGCGTACATTCAATTGCACCATTTACATCCCTTTCACCTTTGTCACTATATGCATGTTTGCCCATGCACAATGTTCTCATCACTGCATGTACAATAGTTTTTCCTTGGGATCAATGAAGTCCACGTGAAGGCATTTTGAGGCACACTATACCTGAACTAAGGTCCAAGAAGAGGCAGAAGTCTTTATGCTGCAGAGCAGCATGGTCTTCATCTATCAACTGAGACTGTGCCACCCCAAAAGTGCTGGTGACTGGAAGGATGTCACTGGGCTCATCCACATAAATGTCAAAACTTGAATTGGAGAGGCAGGTGGGTAAAGTAGTTGTCTGGACTGAAGGGAATGCATTATCAAAAGCTGGCCTTCTCTTCAGTTGTGGGTCGCCCTAGAATACAAGGAAAGGCCAAATAAATGCCAACGACTACGGTTGTTTTTGCTTAGCTAATTACCAGGCAGCGCACACACACACACCTGACCAGACGATCTACTATGCAGCTCGTTGTCATTCAACACGCCCAGCACGGTCCTCTCCCTTGTTTTTGATGTGAATGGCAAACGAGGAGCGTTAATCCTGTTGGGTTCACCCCGTTGGGTAGTTATGTTCTCCTGGCCATACCGGCTTGCAGCAGTGATGAAGCGACCACGATTCATGTTTCCCAACGAGCAACTACAGAAGTAAAACATACCACAGCAATTCACAATTCAGATCCGTTAATCAAACTTACATTCGTGAGCCTCAAAACATAACTGCGATTGCTTCAAAATATCTGCAATTTAAAAAATGCTAACCAACAAAATACAACCGAACAAATAAGGCAAATTTCGAAGAAAAAACACGCTTGCCTTTTTTTAGCGTGTGATCGATAAGGTGCACTCCTTCGAAACTACAAAATCAGCAAATTTTAAAACGCCTCGATAGTGAAGTAGCGCCTCTAGCGGTATATATGGGCCTCCGGCATCCGCTTTGACTACGCTATCGTACGGATCACCTGCGCCCGTCTTTTCGATCTCAGCTGATGCGGATTCATTCATCGCTCGCGCCGCTTCATAGGGCGGCCTATCAGAGCCGACGAACAACGTCGCGTGCGGGGTCTCTATGCCAACGAACAAAGCTATAATAGCCGTGAACATCGGCGGGCAATACAGAAAGCGGAGTCAATTAAATATGGAAATATTTCCAACCCCCCCATGACCTTTAAATAGAAATCTCACAGATAGGGTAAACATGATATTCGTCCTAATGCTGTTAAAAGAAAGGCACTCAGCTTAACTGATTACTAAATTCCTGCTCCCTAGATTTCCCCTTTTTAATAGAATTGTTGGTCTAATGAATAAAGTCAATGTTTCTCTGGCGAAATCTGTGGGATTCTTATGAGTAGACTGAAAGTCTGAAATGGAACACATTTTCATGTTGATACTCCTCAATGGATTTTTATTCTTGCCTGTTGGAAACGAATAAAACTAAAACGTAGCCTGTCAAATGTAGTCCACATGAAATGTTCATTTTTCAACAAAGGCGAGTTGCAGAAGCACGTAAAGAAATCGAGACCGTCAAGAAAATCATGGCCAATAGCCACCAGGGGTCGCTACCATAATTGTCGCGTATAGTTCATGAACCAACATCCTTTCGTTTTGGTAGTGTGTAACAGCTCTTCGTGAAGCGTTACTCATATATTTTTAAAATTATTTTCTTATGCAAAAATATGTATGATAGCCATTTCAATGAGTACTTTTATGAAATACCCAATATAAAAAACACCAGTCTCTGAGCTCAGCATGACATGTTGGTATTGCAGGCACTAAAAATCAGAAACAAGGAAAAAATAACAGGACGCACGCCTTTATTTAAGTCCTGTTGCGCCTCTCACACAGCTGGCTCCTATCAAAGTCATGACTGCTACCCAGAAACAAAAATAAATGGGAAGTATCTGTGTTATGGATGTGGCATTTAGACTCATATTGGCAAACAAAATGCCTCAGAGCATGAACAAGCTTAGTATCAATGAGTCAATTTGCATATGTTTCCATGTAAACACATGGGTTGAATAGATACAAATCCACAGAATTCAAGCATTTATTTACATGTTATAAATACATAGCATTTTATCAGCTTTATGGATTTATGAAATAAACATAACTGCATGTCTTTGGACTGCAGGAATCCAGAGAAAACCAGTGCGGCATTAGGAGACCATGCAAACTGCATACACACTGAGCAGACGTGGGATTTGAACCCCCAACTCAGTGGTTAAACATTTAGAAAATAGATAGTTGGATAAAAGCCAGTACAGGCAAGGATGAAAACCTGCATTTCAAATGGGTTAACAGTTTCAATAAGGCTGTAACACCAGAGGCAATGATCTAACAAGCAAAATAACAGCTAATTTTTATGAATCACAAGTGGATCCAAACCAGTCAAAATCTTACTTTTCACCAAAAGATAGCAATGGTGCACAGCAAAAAAACATTTTATATGGTCTAGAATAGGGCCTAGAATCATCTATGTTTTTTAGAGGAACTTATGAACCATTGATTGGCCATGATGTGCTTCTCTTCCAGTAGATGTAAGCCTTCCCCTATACTGAGCTAACTGTGGCCAACAGTCATGGTCTTAACCATATTTATCTAAATGTTGCCGTCCTTATAGCCAAAGATAACAACAACTGGCTCAACAACTACTCAGACAGAAGTTATGCTCACTTAACAGCAACAAAGCATGCATTTATTGTATTCTGTAGTGGAGACCATTTCATGATTTGATGGTATGGGGGGCTCAGCCCTCTGAAGAAACATAGGACGTCACCTCCACAAGATCAAATTTGCCGAGAGGAGGGGGCAACTCTACAATAAAGTTTGCCAAAGCGGGGGCATGAAATGTATAAGAAAATCCAGAACAAATCGCTAATTGTTTTTAGAAAAACATTTAATATGGTCTAGAATAGAGCCTAGAATCATCTAAGTTTTGTAGAGGAATCAGGAATAATTTCTCACTGTGTAGCCAGTCAAGTGGTAGATGGGGCAGGAAGAACTGAATGCCATCTTGTTTCAGGGGTTGCAAAACATACCATTTGTGCTGAAAATCCAGCAAAAACAGGGGTTAGATGTGAAAAAAGGGGTGACCATTAACAAGCAGGAGGTTGTGGGTTCCTGACCTCAGTTCTGATATCGTAGCAGTTACATTCATGGGTGGATTGCGACACAAGCTACTGTATGGATTTTTCACCTGAGTGACACCACATCTCACAACTCATGCAAATTAAAAACTGGGACAAATAGCCACATTGGCTGTCATCACTGAGCTGTGGAAATGGATCTGTAGGAAGCGGAGCCTCTGGAGACAATGGCAAGCGTGGGACACATAGGAAATGGATGTATTGACAGTGATGGGCAGTAAGGCTGTGTGTGGGTAGATGGTCTCCCAGCTGGCTGTGATTTCTGGCTTTTAGCAGCAGGTTGAGGTCAGTTCTCATTTGTTGACCATCTTGTTACTTAACACACTCTGTGAAAATAACAGAATCTGCCACCCCCCCCCCCCCCCCCCCCCACCCACACACACACACACACACACACACACAGACCTGTACTTGTATCTTATAACTTTTGCTATTTTTAGTTTTTTGATTGCATTGAATGCATTCACAGATATTTGTGGGGATCTGAAAAATTTTTCAGACAACATTAAAATAATAGGTCTTTATTACTTTGCAGGGAACATTTGGTCCCCACAATGTAATATAAACATAGTCCACACACACACAAAGACACACCTGCGTACATTGTGCCATTACATAAAGCCAGCATTTTTTTTATTCATTAAATTTAAAACCTTTTGTATAGGTGACTATTCTGAATTATCTCTCTGCGTATTCATTTATGATATGTGGGTATGTTCGTACACATTCATGTGATACCCACTGATCTGAAAATTAATTGTCAAAATTAATGTGAATCTTAGATTGAGGGCTTCCTGCTGTTTGCTCTGAAGCAGAGGGCACCACCATTAATTTAGAGCTGTTTCCTCTGCTGTTCATTGTGAATGTCAGGATTCCCAGTAGTGGTAACCGCGCTCCGTGCAGTAAATTTAAGCCACTTCACTCTGACTGGCGCATTTTTGGAACCTTGACCTTGAATGGGGCAGATTGATGCGCGGAGCAGCCTTCGGCGCTGCAGAGATTGCCTGGCGGAAAGCAGTTGAGCCAGAGTATGTGCTATGCGGTTTCCTGCTTAGGCAAGCCATGCACCACAAGGGCAACTTAAATAAGTCATGTTTTGCCTTTAGCCATTTTTTATTCAAATCAAATATGCAACTGCAGTGCTCATGAAAGCTTTATCAAAGCTATACAGTTTTTAAAAAATGTAATAGAGTAGGTATCTTTGAGTTTTTAACTGCTTGTGGGAGTTTTACTTACACAAAAATGTTTTGAGGGCAGAACAAAAAAAAAAAGATTGGTTCAGAGAGATAAGATAAGATTGTAGAGGAGGTGGGTCCAAGCAACTAGAGGAGGTGGGACCAACCAATGAAATGTCTCGGTCCCGCCTCCTCCAGTTGCTTGGTCCTCTGGTTGTTTGTCAGAAGCGGGTTCTGGAAGGAACTGCTCCAGGTTAAAGTGGTAATTAATTGGCCACCACTCAGTCACGGTGGGTTTCTGGGTGTTAGAAATGACCTTGAATTGCAGGGGATGTGCTACCTATTGTAGCATCATTTGGTCCAATCAGCGGGATAATTTGAAGCGACACGTCTTAAAAAATGCAAAAAAATAAAGGCTTCACGTGGCACCCAGACATCAGGTCAACCCATTGTCCATGTATAATTCCCCAGAACTCAGTTTCAAAACAATCACCATTTTATTAGATGCTTAGAAAGTATTTCATAAATCAGTAGTGATATAAAGATTCAATAAACATCTCAAATGAAAAAAAAAGCTGAAATTGGATTTGATCAAGGGTTTTGTCAGAAACACACCTTGAACAAAAAATAACAAGCATACAGCTAGAAAGACAGTCACTCCATGAACGTCCTCCCACCATCAGTCACATCTTAAAGCATGAAAAGAGTCAGCATACATAGTGTTTTTTCCAGAATTATCCATCCATCCATTTTCTTATCCTGGTCAGAGTTATGGGTGGCCTGGAGTCTTCCAAGGCAGTTCTACTGAATTATGTGGAATGAATACATTGGTGGCAGTAAGGACACTGCAAACAGTGCTTTGATAAGCAGAAACAGAAGATTGCTGAAGCAGTTTATACATTTGAATGTCAACCGCCAACCCACACAACCCTCTATTCAAACCTTCAGCTTCTCTAGTCAATGCTCCTGCTGCTTAAACGTTCTGGAACCTTCTCAGTATAATCTGAGGTAATCTTCAAGCACCTGAAAAGAAAACTTGCATATTCCTCTGTATATACTGTTTTCAAAAAGGAAACCTCTACCTGACCGCTGGAGACAAAGTGAAAAAGCAACTGACAGGTCTGAAGTTTTTAGTAACAGAAATGTTTTTTCTTTGACAAACCTGACAGGTGACAAGAACCATTGACGCACCAAATGTGGTTGAAGTAAACAAAAAACAGTGCAATACTTCAAGATCCCACTGTTTTGGTCTGGATGTCAATCAGATGAGGTTTCCATGGAAACCTGCAGTTTTTTTTTTTATCATGGTCTGAAAATGAAAGGTTTCCTGGAATTGCCTGAACAATCTGTGTTGTCACTTCGGTGTTTTCTATGCACATTAAAATGTCTGTCAAATGACACTGTAGTCCATGCCCCTAAAGACACACACACACACACACATGTAGGATAAACATATCCTTATGGGGACCGCTCATTCATTTCAATATGAAAAATGCTAACGCTAACTATGACAACCTTAACCCCTACCCTGCCCTAACCATAACCATAAGTAACCTAACAAAATACAAGAGTTTTTGCATTTTTAGTTTTTTCATAGCAGTCACCGATTTTTATAAAATAGAGTTTTCCCTTATGGGGACCAGGAAACCGGTCCCCATAAGGGAAAAAAAACGGATATTTATAGGTATACCCGTTCACACACACACACACACACACACACACATACATACATAGACACACAAAAACATCTGCATCCCCTATACTGGTGGGTGCAATTTGCAAACACAGATTAAAGGCTGAGGAATTTCCAACACTTGATTTAGACTGCTGCCCCCACGTACAGGTACAGGATATGACACAAGGAGCCTTGAGATCTTTGTCTTTTTCAAATCACACTTTTTCCTCACAGACAAAAAGCAGTCACCCTCACAATGGCTCTTGTCCAGATGGATCTCAAGATGAAAGTCACCTGAGCCAAAGGATAAGATCGCCCAGCCGGGTGAAAGAATTTCCTGTCCCCATGTGCGCACATAGGGACGTCAGCAGATGTAAATTGCATGCACTGGACAGTGCCGAGCCTCTGACATTCGATTAGCTTGATATATTGGTACTGACATCCCTGGACAGCAGAGCTACAGCAGCAAAATTTCTCACCTCAGAAATACAAAGATCTCGAGGGTATTTTTCACAGAGGGTGTGAGAGTCTCATTCGGTGGTGGCTGACCTCATGTAAGTCACAGGTACCTCAGGAACATCAGAAACTTTGTGGATGTTGTCTTTTCTCATAAGCTCTATGCAAGGAGCTGCAGTGTACAATATCTGCTACACGTCAAAGCAACTGAAAGAAGGAGAAACCATGCAGCAAGTAACTGGTTATCCTGGTCACGGTTACAGGGTGGGGGGCCTGTAGTCTGCCTCAATCAGTATAGAGCACAAGGGTGGGTACATCTTGAACGGGGTGGCAGTCTATTATAGGACACGTGCACACTCACACTCTATAAGCAATTTAGAGACACCATTTAGCAGGGGCGAGTTGGCAACAAGAAGCAGCTGTCAAATGGTGCCAATGTATTGTTTTGCTGGTCCTCCGTGGTACATTTTGCCGCCAGCTGGGGGGGGGGAGGGTGTCCCGCTTGGAATATGGTATATTTTGCAATCGTGATCCCGGATATGCAGGCTATATAATACCATGGTTGAAGAAAAAAGTCCCACACAAGACCGAATGAGTGGGAACTGCATGTTATTGTGCTACGTGAGGATACTGGAGTATCTGGCAGTGTGGCGCAACAGAGGGAGGAAATGTAAACTCAACACACAGAGAATGGAGGTGGGATTCAACTTCCCAACCCTGGAGGTATGAGGGTATGGTGCTCTTTACTGAGCATGTTCACCACCTCTGAGGAGCAACGTGGGAAAATCCAGTGTTACTGGTGAGACATTTAGACTCATGTTGGCAAACAAAAATGCCTCAGAGCATGAACAAGCTCAGTATCAATGAATCAATTTAAATATCTTTTCATGTAACATCTTGTGTTGAATATAGACTAATCCTCAAAATGTATATATTATTTACAAGTTAGAAATACAACACATTGTATCAGCATTACGGATGTGACAGCAAACAGATAGACTTTTATGGGGGACTACAAATTTTCAAAGAAACTGTGTGAATTTTAAAGACAATTGCAGAAAGCAGTTCAGTGAACAAAAAAATTATATATTTGCTGTTCTTGGATAAAAATGGCATTATGGTTTTTTGACTTTTTTTTGCATTATGGATGTGCTGTCTGAACCAGTCCACAGATTATAGAAACCACATGCTTGATTATTTTTTTTACATGAAACAACTGAAATAGTCATCAGTGGCCAATCAATTATGAAACGAGACATATAGACATAAGTGAACCTTTTAAAAATAGTTTTGTTCACATGCTCACAAGGACATCTTGAGATTGACATGTCCCTGGGTCAACAAGGGTGGGGCTTGCGTTTCACTTCTTTAACCAATCACAGTCTTCACTGTATGACATCACCACATCGGTCCATTTTTTTCCTCATTTTCAAACTCAAAGCTTCTAGCCATTGATCAGGAAGCGCTCTGCAGCTCTGTGCCTTTGATTGGAAGGTTGCTGGTTTGAGAATTCTTATTCTTTTTATCATAATCATGAAATAAATTGCTCCATCCAGCCTTTGCAGGTAAGCATGTTCTTATGTTTTGTATGTATGACATGTGCCTTAACAGAAAACATAGACAATAAAATGGGTACTTTACAAATCTGTGCACCATGCTGCTTAACAGAAAACACTGGTCTCCAACAAGTTACCCCTACAAAGGAGGGTGATAATGTCATACAATAAAGACTGTGATTGGCTAAAAAAGTGACAGGCAAGCTCCTCTGTTGACCCAGTGACATGTTGAACTTGGCAAAAATCAGGATGTGTATGCTCTCAACTGGTTAGGTTGGCCTTTGCATGGAAATGCCTGTGTATATATCACACTTCAGGCTCTGACATAAGGGTTGTTTGTTTATCTGAGCTTGTGCTGTTCTTATCCAATTAGCAATGAGTCCAAACTGCAGGAGACCTGTAGTACAGCCCCTCCCACTGAGGTGTAATGAGATCCATCGGATGCCACAGAGCCAGGGAGGGTTTCCATTAATCAAACTGGGGGCAGTGAGCCTTGAGACAGCCGCCACTGGGTGGAACCACTCCCCAGAGCTCTGCTTTTCCTCAGGCGAGCAGCAGATCCCTGACCGGGAAGGGAAAAAAAAGGAAGATATCTGTCAGACGCGATTTGGAAACCTTTTCGTTACAGTGCAGCACACGCGTGTGTGCGTGCAGCGCAACAGCCCCCGGCAGAGCCCCCACCAGCTCCGTCTCTGCTCCTCACCATCAGTGACCCGACAGCCCAAAAAAAAAACAGGGGAGGCGGAGGCTTGAGCTGAATTCTAAGCTTCTCTGAAGTGTGTCCTGTTCATGAGTTATAGCTCGGCGAACATCACCTGTGATGCTGAACAGTAAGAAAGCGTTTGTGAACATAATTAGCATGATTTTGTTGTCCTTTTAAATCTTATGTTATATATCCCCCCTGGACTTTATTCATTTTTATACAGACCACATCAACGACCAAAGATTCGTCGATTGCATGCATATTATTCAATCAAAGCAGATCAACTATTGTGATCTGGAAATGATGATCTGGGCTACGTGGGCGCTGCCAGCGTTTGTGTGGAGCAGTGACACTATCAAATGTATCCTCAGAACCTGCATGCTGGGATATTTTGCTCAGTGACATCACAACATGGGGAATCAAAGACAGCTTCTCTGTGAGCTGGGAGCGGCCTAGGACTGTGCGACATGGCAACATTTTTTATCATGATAATTTTTTTTCACATGAAACACCTTCAATAATTATCAAGATGCAGGTTGTCGTCAGCTAACGACCTATGCGACTGATTGACTTTACGACTGATATCTGTTTTGTTTTTTTCTTGTTTTTTTTTTTTTCCTTTTGTTTTTTTCTGTTTTCTTTCCATTCCTCTCTCTCCCTCTCTCTCTCTTCCCTCCTTCTCCTTTGTCCCCCCCCTCCCTCTCCTTCTTTTGAGGAAATAAATAAAAATATAAAATAAAAAATACATAAAAAAATAATAATAATAATAAAATAAATTAATAGATACAGATAAAGTAGTCCCCCGCAGAGGGGGGGTGGAGGAGGGAATATATATATATATAAAAAAAAAGACTTTACGACTGAGACCGCAGATATGTGACCATGAGTATGCTATGTCTGGCAGCGCGTGCATCCCCGTGAGCAAATGGTGATGAAAGGGTTAAAAAAACACACCAAACAACATGGCTTAAAGATTATATAATTTTTTACATAGTATACTCTACATATTATAATTTTTGCATGTAAGATAAAAAGCCGACTTATGACCAAATCGAATCAGAACCGATCATGGTCGTAGGTCGATTCAGTCATTATTTGATTACTTCAATGGTCCATTTTTGCTTAAAATTCCCTCAGAATTCCCTTAAACAGAGTGAAAGCGCAAACAAAAAGGCAGCAAATTGAATTGACTACAAAATGAAAATGTAATTTTAATAAATAAATCATACAAAAATGTTTTTTGTCATAGGGCATAACACTAGAAAACACTGACAGTACATTTTTTTCTCTTACTACCTCGCTGTTATTTCCAGGGAATGGGTTTGACTAGGGCTCGATAATATGCCCTAAAAATGATATCACTATATTTTCAGGGATTTTCATAATATTGGTATCACAATATTCTAAAACTCATATGTGGAAAGCAGTAAAAGATGACAGGTGCTTTGAATTTTTTTATTATAACGACCACATTTTTTCCCTAATAGTTATGGAGCATATGACAGGTATGATGATAATTTACACAAACAACTGACTCATCCCTCGATGGAATTTCTGTAAAAAAAAGGGAATTAAAACTGCCAATTATACAGGAAAACAACAGTATGGGCTATATCACAGCATCCAAATTGGTGACGATATGAATGTTCATTATCACGATACTATATTTCATCTATATATTGTCCATCCCTAGGGACACCAATGGCCTATAGGTTTAAGGGCCTTGCTGAGGGGAGGACCTTTGAGAAGTAATCTAGCCGTATACATGAATAAAATGCATTATATCCAGGGTAATTTGCATAAAACTGTCTACTAAGAAACCTGATCCTCTCTTTTCTCAGTGCATCACCCATTCTCTGCATAAAATCACCACCTTCAGATAATTAAAGCCTTTCATCAGTGTTGTTTTTCATAATAAGCTTTTATTCCTAAGTCTTTATCTTTAAATTGAAATCCCTGAAGGCTTTAAAAGCATAGCGGCGCACAGATGCAATGCAGAAACACATTTAAACCCACGCAGAGCAGGTTTAGTCGAAGGCACTCTGCACCTGTCAGAGCGTAATTGGGTGCAGCTGTTTTCTTTTTACCAGTGCTGTTTGACTCTTTGTTAATTTGATTATTATCTGGGTAATTCTGCAAGGCTGACGTGTAATGTGAGGTGACCCTTATGTGAGGAGAGCGCCACTCACATCTAGATTCAATCAGCACATCACAGCAGGACAATCCCAGCATCTTTGCTCACGGATCACTTTCAGTAAGTGTCTGAGCATAGAAGAAGTACATAGAAACAAGTACTAAAAATAGTGAAGCCATGTTTTATGTGGTAATGTATGTCTTTCCACAGTTACACAGTTGACATCCAACTGTACTTGACTTTTTCTCCAGAGGTCACCATGGGCTCAGTTTCCTGCGTGCCTTGCCGACATCACAGCCTGGATGAGTCATAACCACCTCCAACTGAAAACTCCGTTTCATGTCTTCACCCTAACAAGTTAGCATGACATCACGGTCCATGGCGGTTTGCTAGGAACCTCGGGGTAAAGACAGATGAACAGCCGTCCTTTGCACTGAACTTCTTTCTTTTAAACAAAGACAACACCTCAGATCTTAATGCTCTAAAGACATTGACCCAGGTAAAAAAAAAAATCCTAAAAAGAAATCTTTAAATCTTGAAAGCAATAACTAAATTCGCATTTTATGATGAAATAGCTAGATTCATGTCAAAGTAATTCATCTCAGCTTTCCACTCATCCCCAAAAGAACACTAGACAGCTGCAACCTGAATGTTACTGCTAGAACTTCTTAATTATGAAAAAAGAGCACATTACTCCTGTCTTAAAATCACTGCACTGGCTCCCATGCAGTCACTTTTAAGATTAAGATTAAGATTGAGATGCACTTGGTCCCAGGGGGGAAACTATGGAATATAGTACTGTACATACAGTAGTAGCTTTGTTTTCTCCTTGATAGCTGTATGCTTGTGATGCATTATTTGACTCCCTTGGAAGTTATTTTGGATAAAAGTGTGCTAGATAAATAAATGCAAATGAGCAAGTCAGGTGCACCACATATCAGACGTCTCCAGGTGGAGTGTATATACCTGACGCTCCCGAGTTCATACTCGCCATGCACATCTCAGCCAGTATAATTCAAGGTAATTCGAGATAAGACTGAGCTTGTGTGCCCATACAAGGAAAGCAAATCAATATCTTGTAATTTCAATACAATTAAGTTATCGCCACAAATGCTGTCTGTCCTGACTCATAAACCACAGTTTTCTTTCTCTACTCTGTCAGAAAAAGGGATTTGCTATCACTGGGACTGTATCCTCAAGGGTAAATGTACCTTTTAAGATACAGAAATTGACTCTGAGCATCATTAATGTTGCTTGTACTTCCTCAGAGTCCATTTATGTACCTTAAATTAGACTAAAAGGTACATTTACCTACAGCTAAGGGTACAACTGGCAGACCCTTGAGGGTACAGCCCCAGTGATAAGCAAAGGAACTGACTGGTACCCTTTCTTCTGACAGTGTACCTGGCATGAAAGGTTATAATTTACAGACCGCCTATGTTTGGTCTGAGAAAGCCATGCAGCGTCCTTTAGTTTAACGACTACCCTTTTTTTCTCAAAGCCCCGATAGATTCATCAGGCTACCCAGAGGGTGACGAGCGTTAGTTCGCGTCCTGCCTGCCACAGTCCACTTCATTAGGCTTCAGTAAATGAAACAGCGGCTCGCTGGCACCCGTGGTAGCTAGAGAACCAGGGGTATGAATCAATAAAAATGTGAACTTTCGGGGACTGGAAAAAAATCCTTACGACCTTAGTTTATCAAAAAACGTTAATTTGCTTAAAAAAAAATCATATGCACGCTACTTAATACAAGTTATCTAATTCACATTTTCGCATGGAAACGTTTATATTCACACTTTAGCATCGCATATATACAGGGGCGTAGCACCAAATTCTGGGCCCTATGCACAAACAGTGCCCATGCCCCCCCCCTAAAAAAAAACCCCCAAAAAAACAGCCTAATCACACAAGACTTCACTGGAATTTGGTTTTATTTGTAGAATGATTAAAAGCTATGATAGGAAATGTCACCAAAGGTAGCCTAACATCATAGGCCTGCATGAAAATTGAACACTTTTGAAACGGTTTCACCGCTGTGTTGTTCATCAAACTACCATGTGAATGCGATTTCAATACGCGGAAGTGCGGCTGTTTAGAATGTGAATAGCGATCTTCACGCGAACCCAGGGGGTTAAGCAAACAAAAAAATATTTAGACTTATCTAGACTACATCATGTTAAGCTATGTGTAATTTCGCGGTGGTATTGGAAGTGTTTAATAATCACAGTTCATTTAATGTAGGCTATTTGCTTTCACATTTGGGCTCACCTTTCTTGGGAAAAAAAGTTTGTAAGTAGTTGCTTTCCCTCATTTTTTTTGTTTCTTTCCTGCCTCTCTTTTCTTTTTTGAAAACCGGATTTAGCTTTCTTTGGCATCATCTTCCATCACGGATTCAGCTGATTCAGCAGAATGACCGCTAAATTAAATGCGCCTAGTTAAAAAGCCCAGTAAAGAATAAACCATTGCAGGGGGTGAGGTGCTTGTCCTCAGGCACTGTAAGCTAGGACACAATTCAATCCGTCAACCGATTTATTTTCCCACAAAAATTACATTTACATTAGTTAGCAACATTTTTATGATCTTTGAATAATATTAATATATTTAAAGGAAAATAAAATTCCAGATTCCTTAGGGGCCCTCCCCCCACATGGGGCCCTGGTAACTCAGTCCCCTTTTCCCCCCACTACGACGCCCCTGCATATATACATCGCAGACATCAACCCCAGCTATTAAACAGCCGCTTTCATAAACTAGTCATGTCTTTCAGAGCCGGTAGTCTTCGCCATTCACAGCTTTATTGGAGCGATTAATTGGATATGGTTTGCAATGTGGCGTTAACGCCCACTGATATATCTCAGTGATGGGTTTGGGCACCTCCGGGTTCAGCGTAAGAGGTTTATATGAGGACTGTTTATATCAGATGATTACTACGCGTTAACAAATTGCCTGAATGAACTCTGTTTATTCGTGATATAAAAGCAAAGTTAAAATCAAATGCGAGTTTCTCTAATAACCGAGGAAGTGGCTGTGGCGGGCTCTCCAACGCCCGGAGCTTAAGAGTCACGTTTCCTCTGTATGTACCAGTAACTGAAAATGTAACAATAACTACTTTCTTTTTAATAATGAATTAAGTTTCTGTAATATCTTAAAGAGCCTTGAAAGACTGTGTCTGTGGAAATCTATCCGTCGGGGAAAACGTTGCACTTTCTTTAGAAAACACTTAAGCAGAAAATCACCTATACAGCTAATTTTCGCGCCTCATTCATGAATTATGAATAAGTGGAGGAAACGATTTTGCAGTTCAGGAGATTTTGCGTTCTCTTACGTATAAATTATTAATCTCGGGGAACAAAAATCGACACTTCTGATCTCTTCCCAGTCCCCGAATGTCACAGGCAGCACGTTTGAGGTGTAAACAGCACCAGTCCATCACAGGGCAGAAACACCGCATCACAATGAAGGAAGAAATCAAACTCAACCTCGGAGCTGCAATCTTTGTTAAAGCCTGGCTATTACATGGTGCAATACTTGGAAAATCGCCTGCCTGTAAAGTTTATCTGAAATCATTGTGTATTACTTAATAAACTTGGTGTGTGTGTGTGTGTTATCTATCTACCTGCCAGAAGATAAAGGGATCAGGGTGTGAATCTCATCCACCGGCACAGTTCTGCAGCAGGGGTCAGTTGATTCACACCTCACACAAAAGACATATTATCACACTGTGATTGAGTAGAAGGCACATGGCCAGATGCAAAAGGAACAGCCATACTTTCAGTCTTCTAGGAAGAAAAAGAAATCAACACATTTAAAGGGCCAGAAAGCAATTACGCCACACAGAGAAGTGCAGTGCGATGTTTCAACCAACAAAATTCCTTTAGACAAAAGAGCAATTTGCAATTCTTAAGGCACTGAAATTTATGCACTGGCCTGGCCCACTGCCAGTGTACTGTTCCTAAAGCTGTATAAAAGAGACATAACAGATTTATTTTTTCTGAAGAAATGTGTGTGTGTGGTGGGGGTGGTGTTGGATGGAGGCTTTGAATTTGGAGCTTTTGGAAAGGGGCTTACACCAAGCCTGTTATTTTCTCATTTTTGGGAAACAATGCTGGAGAGGGCACTTAAAACATTACTGAATATTAAGGAACGAAAAAAATCTGGGCTCCCCCCCAACCCCCACAAAGTGCACAATGTGATAATAATTCCACTTCAGTCTGACACAGAGTTTGTCCCCCCTTAGAGTAAATCTGGCGTGGCATGTGTCACCTTGACATTCACATGTGTGCCCTCAGTCACGTAAAAGCGTCTCCCCAGCGTCTCACACGCGGAGCCCCACTTGTGCCTGAGCCGCTCACCAGTGTGACGGGGCTTTGCCAATTCATGCAGTCCTGGATTAACGACAATAACCGGCGCAGGGGATGCGGTCTTATCAGCGTCCCTCAGAGTGCGCCGATCCGCCATTCCTGTGGAGACAGATGTAATTAGTCAGGCCCCGGGGACCAGTGTTGCCAACGTATTAAGGGACTAATGCAGGATTCCCCCAGGACAGCCCACCCCCTTCTACTCTGCCTACGCACACAAATGGGAAGCTGATGCTGATTGGTCAATGGGATCGATGTGGTTTAAATATACTTTTGTTTCACTATGAATTTGATGAGGAAGGGGAATGGATTGCAGTAAGCGTCAGCTCTGCCTATTGTGTGTCCCTATGTTCTCTGGACAACTGCCCTGCCCCGTTTGCCTTCATGTGCTGCACCAGTGTTTCCCCCTTTAAAGGCACTGGCTCACCAGTTGAGCATTTTGTCACTGTTGGTGTCGCCATTGCTGGCAAAAGCATCATCCGTGTCTGCATTGTTATCCCCTTGTATCTGTTACTTGTTCATTATATACTTGCACCTACACCCTCGTTTCCCTTCAGCCACGCCTGGCAGTTTGTGACTGTAAGGGCGTGGGGTCGTGACAGCTAGATGGCGTATAGTCTTCTGTAGAAATAACACAAGACATGTATGATGTTCATACGCCGCTGTTCTGAAAAATCGTCCGCCGCCCACGATCATTGTGCACGGCTTTAAAAATGTATTAACTTGAGTCGGGACAAAATACTTGCTGAGATAATAAAGGCCAATTGAAACAATCCACTGAAATACTGGGTGTTTCGTTGCTTCCAGCTGCAATTCCAATCCTCCAGCTGAGCCCTTGTCTCTTTGGAGTGAGAAGTTGTAATGCTGTCAGGATAAAAGTCCCAGAACCCAGCTTCATGCCAGATGTGCTTATATATATATATATATGTGAACTTTAATGTTGGTCTTCCAGCAACTAGCTTGGCACGCCGGTCCAGCAGTGAACTGACTGTTCTGTGTATAAGCAGGAAAATAACTGACAATATTCCGTCGCCCATCCAGGTAGTAGAGAACTGCTGCACTCACATGAGTACGTATGTAACCCCCCCCCCCCTTTTATTTTGCACACCTTGCGTACGACACCTGATGAGCCCTTAAAGCAACAGTAAAATAAAACAAGCAGCACAGTGCATACTGTTACAGGCTGTGGCACTGAGGAAGGGGGGGGGGGGGGGGGGGGGGGGGGGGGGGGGGGGGGGGGGGGGGGGGGGGGGGGGGGGGGGGCTCAACACCCAGTATCTCTTTGGAAGCCCAACCTCTAGGCATGAATAAGCATTAAATAAATAAATGAGGGTGGGGGTGGGGGGGGGGGCGATAGAGGATACATGGGGAAATAAATATGACCATACAAGGGTACAAAAGTTGACTTTATTTACAGTGCTGCTACGCATGACACACGGTAAACAGGCAGGCAGATTTCTCCTCCCTGAAACACACTCAGATGAGGGGTGCATGCCTTGTCTTCCAGGCACCTGTAGATGCACGCTGCGGAAGGACACCCGAGATCCTATTAAAACAGGTGTGGAGGGGGAAGGGAGGGGCTAGGGGAGGGGGGGGGGGGGGGGGGGGGGGGGTGTAAATCCCTGCATGCTTCCTGCAAGCACATTGCTCGCTTCTAACGCAAGACGGAGTCATCTGGCAGTGTCATCCGGAGAGACACGGTTACAGGAGGAGAGAGAGGGAATTACTGCAGAGGAAAAAGGGGACCTTAAACAGCCGGGCGGCCAGTCCCTGCACTGAGGTGCGAGTCGGTGCGCCAGCGATCGCCGTTAATCGGTTACTGGGTCCTCGCTGGTCTTCCGCTCTCCTGTGCAGCCCTACTCTGTAATTCAAACTAAGTTAACATCCTTGCTCGGAACAATGCTGTCCCTCGCTGAGGCACATGCAGTGCTGACTGTACTCCTGGGAAAGAGGACGCATTTCTGAGAGATGTCAGAGTAGACGACCCTCCCCCGTTGAAGGTGAGTGACCCTTAGATCCATTATTTTTCTGTGTGGAACAGAAGGGCACGCAGCTAAGTGGTCAGTGTTAATTTAACATGGAGAATTTTATATTACTGCATTTTAACCCAGTTAAACACTCTTTAAATGCGTACTTTCTGGTAAATGCTGGTAGTTTCGCTCTGCATGTCCATTATGTGTCATTTCCTGAGCCTGAAATGAGAAGTAGACGTTAATGATTTAAAAAAAATTTTTTTCTGCTAATGAGGCAGTGGTGCATTTGCATTGAGTTTTTAGGGTCACCAGAGGCTTTCCTCCAATGAGATTTGCAAGGCAGTCTAGATAATAAGCCAACCTACAAAGAGAATGAGCAGGAACTCAGAGTCAGCCAGAGCCACCGAGCTGCCATCTGAAATTTCATCTAGCACTGCATACTTTTTGTTTTTTTCTTTTGTTTATGGGGAAAGAGCTCATTAAGGGGATCTATGGGCTGCTTGGTTCACAGCGTGAGGCGGCTCTGAGTTACACCGTGATGCTTTCACTTACGACGGCATCAGCTGAGGCACAGTTGGGGGAGGCGTCAGGCGAGGAAGACTGACCGAAGAGCCTTCCTCTCTCTCCATCAGGTCACCACTGTGTACCCTTTGTGTGTGTCTCTCTCTCTCTCTTCAAACGCCATCCCCCAAACGTGAAAAGAATGCAATGGAGGACACAAACAGCCCCCAAGAAGGTTATAAATCCTCACATGTGCGCCTTCGACTAAAGAAAACCACATGCTTGAAAGCCGTCTGAACTACAACTTACTAAAACAGAGGAAAGGATGCATTTTTGTAACATAAATTGACACTTGGAAGGATCAGACAATCTGAAGTATATGTATGTTTATCTGCATTTAAGATGGCTATATTGGTTTTTTCAGTATGATGGACCTTATTAGTCTGCCATGTAAATTTACATAAACATACAGTTCCAAACTCAAATATACAATGCAAAAGTTTTAGGCAATGATGCTTAAATGTTTTTCCTGTTGGTGTAAAACTAAGACATTATGTCTGTGAAAGTGTATCAGCTTAGTCATTTCAAAACCTCCCCTAAAATAACTTTGCGGCAGCTATCCACCAACACACCCATGAATATTTTGACTCAACAACTAGCACCTCATATGGCTAATTAATACCTAAATGATACCTCGATTAAGTGAATTATTTACGTGAGCTGGTGGTGAACTTGAACAATTACATGGAATGGCTGAGGTGCCCCTGAGGAGAGGTTTGGGAACTGAAACAGTGTTCATCTAGCCATCCAAGATATTACTAACTTTTTGGAGAATAGAATCATTTCCTGTTATTCTTGTGTTACTCTTAACTAGTATACATCCTAGTGTTAAAATATCTTTTTTTTTTTGTTCCGAAGACATATACACTTACTACTGAGATAACTTTACACATCACCTTTGACTGCCTAATACTTTTCACAGTACTGTAAGAACGCATCCCTCTTTTAAGCCAAAGTAATTGCATTTAACTGCAAATTAAATGTTGTCCCCCATGAGCAAGTGTTGTTTATCCAGTGGTTTGTAATGCAAACTTTCCTGGGTCTCTATCAGGTTCATCACCTTGACCAATGTCAGATCTTTCCCGCCGGACACATGTCAAATCATTCACCTCGTTCATCATCACCTTCAGCGGCTGATGGTATGGGGTTTGTTTTGGCTGTCTGTCTCATTCAGGTCACCTTTCCACTGCTCCTCTCATTTTCCCCCATACACCAGGAGCAGCAATTACATCAGTCTTGTGGGGAAGACACATATACAACCTTGACTTTTTGTGTTTAAACCCCCCCGAGTTGGTATGACTCCCACCCCCACTCTGTGACACATGCAGACAGGTGGTCATGTGCTGCTCTGGGCTTGCGAAGGCCAGAATGTCATGACATTTCACTACAGAGATGTCTCACCATTAATTATTCATGAGCGATGGACACGAGAGAAGTGTAAACAAAGCTTGACCTTTCTTTGCTAAGCTGGGCATCCAGTCTCCCTGCACTCTCCTAATGGACAGCCTTCTTTTTAAAAAAAAAATAAAAAAAATATGGCAAATAATGACTGAATAAGCGTGGGAATTAGCATGTTGCCTAGATACCAAAAACATAATTATCCATGATTATAGCTCTCTTCACACCGAATTGGATGCATGCATTAAGTGTTTGTAACACAACAGCAACTTGTTTGTGCGCTTCTGTGAAACAAATACCGCCATTGACGATTTATTTACTGTATACAGCAATTAATCTTACCTTTTGGAACGTTTCATTTCACAGTACGATTCTGTTCACGAAAGTGACACAGCAACCATGCTACTGATGTATATTTATGATGCATTTATAAACAATGCACAGGTGAATTGCGGGTAACTGGGATTGCATTCAACTTCTATAATGAAGTGATTAAAATAACTTCCACCCTCCCTAACTACGATTGACGCATTCTGTCCACATCAATCTGTGAGCTCTACCCAGATGTCCCCCTGTGTCTCTTGCTGAACGTGTGTGCTCAGAGGCCACAGATCAGAGAGGTATCCTCCAAGGCTCCAGATGTCCCGACAACGATAACCCCACTCTGAACCTCCAGGGCCCATCAGCCTTGAGGCCTCGTGTGCATGGTGTGGCAGCCTGAGCGGGAGATCGTGCTCTCAACATCGCGAAAGTGCTTCATGGGTGGCGAACTGCGACCCAGGTTCACCCTCTCCGTGCGATAGGCTCAGATTGATTCACAAAGAAAGCACCACAAAGAAAACTCAGCGAGTCGTCATTCAAACTCCAAACTCCCATCGCCACCTTTCTTTGTACCTTGGCGAATTCATACTGGACCTCTTTAGTGGTGGTGGGGTTGGGTGGGGGGTCTAGGAGAGAAATTTTAAGAAGAAGCTTTACACACATGCAGTTGAGAGTGAGTTTTAGAGTCTGAGTGCAGCGTGATGCCATTTATCTGGCACCCCTGGAGCATTTCAGAAGGTTAAGGGTCTTGCTCAAGGGCCTGATGGAGATATGACTATCCTGCGGAGTACAAGGGCTTGAGGCCCAACCCCCTGAACCACACAAGCCACCCTCCATGCTTCTAACAGAGTGATGTGAGTGGGGATGATTTCACATCTAATACTAAAGCAGCAGCAGAGTGAGATGTATTGCAGGTTGCCTGACGCTCAGCCAAATGCAGCCAACCTTTGATGTCACACCTGTGATCTCTATCTATACCCATCATGGTGTGATGCAAACAAGCACCCACCCTCATGGCTCGGAGCTTCACAGCTTTGTGTCTTAACTTGCCAAAGACTAGAAACTACTAGGGATTTTCTCCACTGCTGCCATACATCTTATTTTCATTGGAAGGGGAACATCCAACAACTGTTTTGGGGTCTCATCAAACCTGCATCTTTTGTTAACAATTAATAGAACTATATTTTGTAACTAAATAAATAAATATTTCTTTCTTCCACAGCAAATTTTGGAAACTGAAGGTTGTCAGCCTCAGTACCTTGATTCTTCAGTTTTTTGGGCATTGTCATAAAAAGAAAGAACTGATCTAGAATTGCATTGAGTGATTCTGGCCACAGGAGAATGTCAAAGATGGATCTCCAAGTGTGGAACTTCAATGGATCAACAGCGGAGAATGGTACGTTCCTCAATATAGCTCCCACCTCTGTGTCCACAGCAGTGGACCCTTGGTCTGGCCGGCCCCAGAACGTCTATATCTATGTCTCTGTCTTCCTTGGTTTGCTGGTCTTCCTGCTCACTCTACTGATCGTCGCCCTCCACAGACTCAAAAACATCATCAGTGCCAGTCCCTCTTACCCAGATTGCACTAGTGAAGGTGGGAGCTCTTTTACCAACATGGAGATCTGCAGCATCTCCTCCCAGAGGTCCACGGTGTCTTCTTTGTCCTGTTAAAGACGGCTGTCTCTTCAGAGCAGCAAAGCTGCAGAACACAAAAAGACAACCAGATACAAAACCGCCCAACTACACACAGATGCTTATAAGCACAAGCATTCCAAAGTTTATGGAGCAAATGTTTTTCTTTAAGCTCAAAAATACTCTGTTGTGATGTGGACGACATGGAAAGAACCTCGCATGGCTTACAGAGAATAATCTGAACTGGGTCATATAATTCCTGAGAGGGGTTATGAAATGGTAATAATGAAATGCTCTCCTCTTATTGGTCAAGTCTTGGACCAATTGGCAGATCCGACTCTGGAGTAACAGTAACTGTGGCCCTGGGCTAGATGGTCACACAAATAACCCACTGGCACACGTGCACGGCAGTTTCTAATTGGCAGTTCTCTGTCAGAACCTGACAATGCCAACACGCTTTGCGAGCCACACGGCACTAAATCCACCAGAAAGAAAGAATGGGATTATCTCAGAGGCATGTTTGCAGCACTGGAAGATAAAACACAAAAAAAAAACACTATGGGGAAAAACTCCTGGGGATTGCAACTTCAACATCACACATCTGTGCTCTTAGCCAGTGCAAAAGATAAAAAAGGAAAAAAACATCAAAGGGATTATTAGAGAGAGCAACACATGGATGAATTCCTCTAGAATGTAATGTTGGCTCAGAGTGTTTATTTTAATGTTTTATCTATGTATATGTGTTGTGCTAAAGGATTTGCCAGGGCTTTAAAAAATCTGTACATAGTTTGCAAATGCAATAAAGATACTTATGTGGAATTGTAAAATAAAGTACTGAAGCACAATGATTAGTGGATAAAATATTATATGGAGATGTGATTGAGGTGCTATTGTTGTGTACAGTTTGTAAGTAGCTCATTAGCTATTTGGGAATAGACTCAGTTCTCAAATATTTATGGATACTTTAATAGTATTTGATTTCTTCATGAGTATGATTCAGACAGACACACAGCCCCATGACCGACAGTCCCAGGTTTGCCACAGTAATTGACTACACTAACCAAGAGAGTAGGTAAGTTGAGGGTAGGGTGAACACTGGTATGGATGTGTCCACAAAGGAGGACTGAGGGTCAAAAAGGAGAACAGCGATGAGGGGTTGTTGATGGGGGGGTTATTTCATACACATAACAGAATAGCTGAGAATGGTATATCTATCATGATAATTATCTTGCCATCTCGAGAGACCAGCATGAAAAAATATTTGGAAGCGTGGATGTTCTCGGCTTCTGTAGAATTATCTGTGCGGGAGTTTCACATTTTTTGTGCGACTGGGGGTGGGGGACAGTTGAGATATTGATGGGAAGGTGGGTAGGGGGAAGGGAAAAAGAGGACAAGGGGGCTACAGAGGGCTGGAAAGCCGGACTGTCTGGATGAAATCCGGGTGACTGCTCACCCTACTTCAGGGGTCACCTCAACCTTCTTCTTGTTAGCAACTTTTTAAAAGACTTCCCATTTCCAATCAGAATTTCAAAACTTTTTCTCTTTACAGAGGTGAGCTGCACTGTGAGGTGAAAAAGAGGCTTAGCGTTTTGGGAAAAGTCTGACGATAATTTAAAGAGAGTGATTCCCCTCTATGACTGAAGCTGCTAAATTGATTCACGTCAAATCTTTCTTTCTAGTGGAAGCTCAGCTGAACTGACAGTAAATCCCAAATTACTGAAATGTCAAAAAAGTCATCATCCCTATGAATGTCAGTATGTATGAGAACAGTTCTGTGCATTTGTGGAATTATCACACCATTATTTCAGATACGAAGCTGTTTCAAATTCTGTATATTATTATGTATAAAGATGTCAGCAAGTGGCAATAAGCTCAATGGTATTCAGATGTGAAACTGACCGTTTTTCCAGTATAATTCATATTATTATTATTTTTTTTTGCTAGTAGAGAAATGATCAGAAAAAGAAAAAAAAATTCATTATGTCAGATTGTCATTCCAGAATAGGTGGCTTTAAGACACTAGGCTCCGACCTCATGTCAACGGAGTTCTACAAACATTCTCAGACATAAAGATGGATCCTTCAAACTGTATAGCATTTTCCACCACCTTGGTATTGATGCATTGCCTTCAGGAAAAGACTTAAGAACAAAATACTAAACCTGGTTTAACTGGAAGAACATCTGCATAAGATGTGTTTTTGCTGGTGTTTGATAGCTGGACCCCAGAACACAGAATGTGCCTCGGTTTACTTATACTAATTGCTAATCAAGAACCATTTCTATACTCAATTTGCCTCAGTGACAATTAATAGATAAAAAAGACAATCATTGTATTCATAAACTGTCAGACAATAAAGAAGTTATTTATAGGGTAATATATTTCCCAGTCCCCAGAATGGACCTTGAAAATCACATTAGTATTGCATTTTGCACTATGAATGCAAATTAATGAAATGTGAGAGTCAGTTCACGTAGATATCTACATTTAAGATCCTCTCCCGGCTTTCCAATTTATTTTACAAATGTTTAACTAGACAAAACCTGCATCTTTTGCCTGTATATGTTTCTATGAATAAATTTTAAAAATCACCTTCTCCTGGAGTGTTTTGATAGAAAAGTCTGAGTCTCTAGCTTTGGTAGAGATACTTATGTTTGCATCAGCTTTAATGAGGGTCTGATGAGAGCTCTTGTGATACTTGTCCTGTTTTAACTTTACTTGGAACGTCTGTTTGTCTCTGATGCACTATTTGAGATTTCCTTATATGCAGTACAACACTGAAATGCAAGACCACTTCACCTGGCTGCTGGTCTTTGGGTCTGGTTCTGAGTCTTCTGGAAGCCCAGCAGAGAGATACCTGGCCCGGTGTTCCATACCTCTGCTAATTACCAGGAGGAAATGTCATCTGTGATTGGTGAGGGAAGTTCAGCAGCACCACAGCCTGCATGGAAGATTCACCTTCCACCAGCCCTGACTGCATCACGGACGCGGACACTCACTGCATCATGGACGTGGAAAATGCGTCTTAATTCACCTCACTGACAGACTTTGATTCTGTTTGTGTCGGATGACAAGCTTAATAGAATGAACCCCATAACAACCAGTCAATGAGGTATCATGCTAGCTTAATACATGCCTGAATATTTACATTTTTGTAGGGAAAGCAGCACAAAAAAATTCCCCCAAGATCCATAATATATTTAAATATATATCTTATCTTACATAACATAAAACTGACACGTGCAGGGGTTGGGGGTGCAGTCGTCAGTCATGGACCTGGGCGGGTTTGGTGCGGGAACGTGGCATGACACAGGCACAAAAAAAAAGGTGGACGACCCACTGGCGGCTCAGAGAATAAAAGCGGGGTTTATTAAACAAAACAGAAAACACTACGGACACAGCAAAGTCAAAGGACCATGAGGGGGTCAAAAAGTAAAGGGGATTAACAAAGACTAAATAACAAAAACCGAATACACATCTAACACTGAGAATATCAAACCATCTAACATCGCAACCATCAAACAACAACAATGAACCACTGGGGAACTGAACAGAAGCAGGAACTAAAATACTAATGGGTAATGAGACTAACACAGGATAGGTGAGGCTAATTAACAAAGACCAGGGAAACAGGGCACAGATTAAACTAATAAACTGAAAGGAACTAAAAACATGGAAACTAAGAACTAACCAAGGAAACAGAAACTAACACTGGGGAATTACAGACAGGTAAAGACACAAGCAGAGGCACAAGGAACAAAACCAAAAACCAAATACAAAATCACAAGATACAAGAACTAGAAAAACTCAAATGAAACACTAGAGAGCAAAATACAAAAAAAGAGGAGGCGGGATTCAAACACAGGACAAGGATCACAGGCTAAACAACTAGACTAACATGAAGAACGGGATGACCAGCAACACCTGCTGGTCAAAAGGGGAAGGGACACAGAGAGGGACCACAGGGACTGACCCTGACAGTCGTCAGCTTTTACCGTCGAACACCTGCCCCTTAAAACATCTCTGCTCTGTCCAGACACAGAACACTATCCATAGTCTACATAAAGCTTTTGAAATGCAAGCCTTACAACTGCTCCATTCTCCCTGCCCATTTGTTAAAAGTTCCTATTGCTAGAACAGGAAACGTATCCTTAATTATATTTAATAAGTATATCAATGATGAGTAATTGGAGGCCACGTCAGTTACCAGCTGTGCTCCTCCTGCACAATGTTATTCAGCATTTAACAACATTAAAAGGACATTTTTACATTTATCAAATCCCTGAGGCCAGTAATGAATGCATTTGTTTTCGTTCTTGTTACGTAAATAAATTCCATTGAGTACAAATAGTTAATCAAATTACATAAGATCTCATTTACGGTTCCCCAGGGGAGGCAACAAACGAATAAAATAGGTTCTGTCATCCACTCTCATAATGCTTGTAGATGCATGCAGTAACATACACAGGAAACACAGGGCATCAGAATAAATTGAACTTTAATGGTCCCTTTGCAGTTAGATCTTTTAACACCTTCACAAGGCAGGGAACTAATAAGCAACAACTCTTCTAACACCCTTGAAAGACTCTTGTCCCCCTACTGCCCGTAGTATTTTAACATAAGGGACTGAACTATGGACGTACAGATCTATATAATATATCGATTCTTTCATTTAGAATGTTTTCATTTTTGGAATCGATTCTAACATCAAATCATTTACATATTACATGTAAAATGTTACTTGACAGGGTACAAATGATGTATTGTTATGCTGTTACTTGTTATGCTAAATCTTACATACGTTACAGGAAAGGTCGGCGGCAAAGGCAGGCATGGGTGAAACCAAAAGGAGCTTTAATAAAGCAAACTACCATACAGGCAGGGAAAAAATAAAAATACCGGACCACAAGGGGACTAGGCAGGGTAGGGAATGGGGCGCGGGGCATGACATCAATAGCCAGACTGGGGAGCACAGGAATAGATGGCACTCTTATACACCAGTAACGAGGGAGCAGACAAGGGGCAACTGGGGAGAGTCACATGAGGGCTGAAACGAGTGGTAGGACAAATTAGTAACAGGTGTGGCTCGTTAGAGGCACACTAGGGCAGGGGTGGGCAATCTTATCCGCAAAGGGCCGGTGTGTATGCAGGTTTTTGGGATAACCTGTAGGTCAGCTGCTCAAACCCAGGTGTGAGGACTCTTCAGCCAATCAGTCCTCTAATCAGTCATCTAATTAGGGAGTTGCAGCAAAACCTGCATACACACTGGCAAATTGTGGATAAGATTGCCCACCCCTGCACTAGGGAGAAAAGGAGAGGGGCAGGGGCAGGAGCAGGGATGCAGGAGCAGGGATGCAGGAGCAGGGATGCAGGAGCAGGGATGCAGGAGCAGGGATGCAGGAGCAGGGATGCAGGAGCAGGGATGCAGGAGCAGGGATGCAGGGTGTGACAATACTGATCTCATGTTTGTTCATCATTAATGAATTGTCACGCTTGTATCTCATGTAAGTACTATATTTGTTACTATATCTGTTAGTTCTGCAAACCTTTGTGAATTATTGAAGGAACCACCGAGGAAAGTATTATAGGAATAAATAATGAATAATATATATGTAAAGAAGTGATCTCATGTTTGTTCATGGTTAATGAATTGTGATGCAACATTTATCCCAAGCAGTTACTGTATTTTTCACTATATATCTTAATTCGGTCATTTTATTGAACGAATGAAGGAACAAGCAATGAATGTGAAATACTTCTCATGTTCATTCATCATTAATGAATCATGACATCTTTTCTTAAGTAGCGACTATATTTGTTTATGATTTGTACTTCGGTAGTAACTGAGTTATTAAGTATTTGTGCCCCTTCAAGTCAAGCGTTAGTGTTTTTACTACTATAGGGAGCCGCCCATATGGGGGAAGAAAGGGGATGAGATTCAGGGGCTCAGATACTATAGCGACTAGGGCAGGGGTCGGCAATCCAAATAACAAGATCTGATTTTTCCCATTTTAATAAAACCACACCATCACAGGAGCCACAACATGTTTCGTTCAATATTCATATTTTTATTTTGCATAAGATACACAACAGCCTATAAATCTAAACTGTGCTATTCTTTTTCATAAAGGGGATTTGAAGTAACGGAAATACGGAAACGCTACGATCGATCCACCAGCACAGCTGCCCGTTCGTCTAATTCTACCGTCCCCCTGGTTAGGGGCTACAAGCACTGGAAACAACTGGGGTTGCACTTGGCCTGGACCTGCGCCGAAATCTTACGGCAAATCTATATTATTCCATTATAAATCTACATTTAGCTACATCAATACGCAGGGGTAGTTTGCCAACCTTACAGACTATTTACAAGGTAATAAAACTGTTTCATAGGTGTAAATGAGTGTGTAGACTTGTCTCGAATTGAAAATCTCACGCCAGCCAGCTGAGCAAAGTTAACACCCCTGGCTGTTGCCAACTAGTAAAGCGTTTAACTCAGCAACAAATATTTGACATTAAAATATATCCAAGCTCTCCCTCTACCTGCCACGCATCTCATTAAAGAGCTGTCTTAATGTTATCGAGGCAAAATCAATGTGAGGTTGTGTTTTACATTAAAAGTTAAAAACGATACATTGAGACCTCTTACTGGTGCCACAGTTTTCATAAAACCCAAATAGAACCGCTTAGTTCAAGGGGACGCAGCCCGAAACTGTTTGACAAGCAAACCCCGTTATAGAAAAGCGGCTGACGGGTCCAGACAGGCAAACTGCAAAGTATCAGGGTTTGTGAAGGAATTAGGAGAAGGGAAAATGTTATGTTTAGATTCACGTCCTATTGTATTTAAATATCCTATTGTATTTAAAGATTAATACAAATTTTAAAAAAGCAATTAGCTATTCCGTCTTTTTTTTTGGCTGCGATTCATCTGCACGATATACTCACATGAACTTTTTAAAGATATACTCTCGGCTGTTGACGTTAAATGATTGATTTTTATGAGACTGTCTGCAAATTTCAAAATATATCGATGGTTTGCACTTTACATAGTCCTTCAAGATCCCCGTTTGTCCAGTGTCTGCATTACAAAAAAGAAAGAAAAAAAAAAACACCGCGAGCCCTCATTAAAGCTTAATGCAAACATAAGAATGTCTGTCAGATCAGAAATTACTTTCATGCCACATAGCATAGTACGTTGTCATATTTGTTTTTGATTGAAATTCTGTGAACCACGTAATCATTTCCCCCCCACACTCTTTGAGAAATTTATCCATTTCCATTTCGTATAGAAACGATCTTTCTTTTGCAGAAGTGCCATGGGTGAGTTGCAGATATATCCAGAAGCGATTCTAGGACCTTTGGGGGCCCTAGGCAAAAAACTCCATGGGGCCTCCAACTGCCCCTTCCCCGGCATGGTAAAATGTATTACCTTTATTTTACTGTTAAAGCGTACATTAATAATACCAGCAAAGAGAATTTAATAAACACAAGACCTTTACCTTCACTTTCGTGAAAAACAGAATACATAAATAAAGCAGATTTGTCGTTGCAATGTACTATGTAATCTGCCGCCCTCGGGGGCCCCCTCCCAGCTACCTCGGGAGCCCCGAGGCCATTGCCCGCCCTGCCTGTCCTGTCACTGCGCCTCTGGACGTATCCCTGTACCCAGCCTATTAGAGCGGATACGGGCGCCTCGCGAGCAGCGACCTTCCGCGGTACCGTTGCGCGCCACTAGATGGCGACATCCGAAAACCCGCGGCGTCACGGAGAGGCGCGCGAGCCTCTTGCCTCAGCGTCACCACTCAGGCTTTGTTTCCTCCTGAAGGGATGACAGCCGCCGTCTCTGCTTGTTTTGTTTATTTTATTAATAACGGTGTATGCGGTCTGTGAATACATGCACCGCGAAATGCCCTGAGTTAAAATTAAATATCGGTGGTGGACTGTTACATTGCTGGGTAAAGCAGGCTATGAAGTAGCGAGTGGTCAGTTTAGCAGCTAGTTAGCCACGTTCGTTTGTTGACACATTAGACACTTTCGCTATTTTGTGTCTCGATTCAGGTTCGAAGCGTAAGAAAATAGCCGGAAAAATAGGAAAAAATGAACGAAGAAGACGGCTGCACGACACCGGTAAACAAGGAAACTAATATTTCACTGCTGTTCACCAAGGACGGACAGACTTACTTCGTGGACAACAGCGGGGGTCTGGAGAGCAGGAACACGGCCACGCCGCAGGAGCAGGACGGCGGCATGCTGTCCTACGACATGGACGATCCGGGCGAGGAGAGCGACGTCCTGGACACTTCGGACCCCAGGGACAGCGCTGCCAGCCCCGAGGAGCTCAACGACGAGGAGTCCTTCGGTGACAGCGAGAACGTGACGAAGACGTGCACGTACGATGGGTGCGCGGAGACCACGACGCAGGTGGCCAAGCAGAGGAAGCCGTGGATGTGCAAGAAACACCGCAATAAGATGTACAAGGACAAGTACAAGAAGAAGAAGAGCGACCAGGCCATGTCCAGCGGGAAGTTAGACGTAAGTATGTTCGTTTGTACAGAAGTCTGTCTGTCTGTCTATTTAAATACGCACGCAATTAGTAGCTATTTAGGTCCTCCTACCTAGTACCGGGTAGGAGCCTTTACCTCCAGAACCGCAGATAATTAATTCTGTGGTCAGAGAGGCAATTCCGTGCTCCGAGCTCTTAGCTTTAAGCTTTTCCAAGGGAATCTGGAGACTTTTCACCAATTCTGTAATACTTCCTACATCAGGGGTAGGCAGTCCAATCCGAAAAGGACTGATGTGTATGCAGGGTTTTGGGATAACCTTTTGGGTCAGCTGTTCAAACCCAGGTATGAGGACTCTTCAGCCATTCAGTCCTCTAATTAGTAATCTAATTAGGGAGCTGCAGCAAGAACCGTTGCCCACCCCTGTCCTACAGTAATGACGATTTAAAAAAACAAACAAACAAAAAAAAAAACGTCATGGTAAAATACCGAAAATGAAAGTCCGTGGGCTATCTGTTTTGAACAGGAAGGCTCAGAAGAGAGACCTGTCTCTGTTACCAAGCAGCGGTTGGGGGACCGGCTGGGGGACCGACCGGCGAGGCCCTCCCTCATTGAACAAGTTCTCAATCAGAAGAGACTGGTATGTTTCTGCATTGTATACATAAAGTGCAAAAACGTATGTTACAGTTCTATGGAGTTCACATTTTTTCCCTGCGCAACTAAATACTGCTTGTGTTCATAAGTCTGTATGTTTTTGTTTGGTTTACAGTCTCTGCTGAGAAGCCCAGAGGTCGTGAGCTTCCTGCAGCAGCAGCAGCGGCGACTTCTGACAAGCCAGAGAAGTGGAGCCGTGCAGCAGGAGTATCAAGGCTGCTGACAGGAGGCGCGGCTGGGCCCGAGAGCTAACAGACCAGCGAGCCCAGGCCCAGAGAGGCCCAGTCCAGGTTGTCATACTAATAGGAAACCTTATTTGGGATATCATTATCTATCAAGCGGATAATTTCTTTCTGGAAGTGGATTCATCCAGTAATTAAGGCAAATTTCTATTTAATATTCAACCCGATTGCCTCAAACAGGATTATCCCAGACCCATTTCCAGGAGTCCTCCTGATGTTGAGCATTACCTATAGGTCATTTGACATCCACAATGAATGAATCCAGTACAGGGGGATTGAAAACAGATTGTGTTAAAACGTGCACTGTCAAACTGGATGTAATAATCACTGGCTGAGTCCACTTCCCTAGAAAGAGGACATCCTAGACGGAGTGTGAGTGAACCTGGAGTTTCCAGGTTGATTTTTTTTAGAAAGCTCCTGTGTGGTTGGTTTCTCTTTAGTGAGATATAGAAGTTACACATTCTCACTGTCAAACGAGGGCCTTGTGAATCAGGCCACACCACTGGTTCATGACCCCTGGACCTTGTCGGGTCGACATTGTGTGTGTTTCAGCTCTCATTGAACTTCCTACCTCTCCACGGATTGAAAAGGCTGAACTGCTTCAGTCTGCTTCTTAGTACTCATGTGGCCTAAACAAGTACATACGGGGAACCACAGAACTAGTGATCGATGGGAAATGTGGCTTCAAAACTTGGGATGGGATTCCTTTGCCAGCTCAGACCAGATTGATCTAACGCTCTCCCCGGTTGATATCTGTTGAGACAAACAGATAAGTGATGGACAGCACATGCCGGTTGAAGTTTCCTGGGGATTCGGAGCCTCATTACTTCATTCACTATGTTAGTCTACACTCAGCAGTACCAGCTAAAGCAGGAGTTGGGGAACCTGATCCATGGAGGGCCGGTGCAGGTTTTTGGGATGACCTCTCAATCAGCCAATAACAGTCGGTCTGCAGGATTGGAGTTGAGAACCACTGTTTTATTATTGGCTGATGGAGAGGCTATCCCAAAAATCCGCACCCACACCGGCCCTCCATGGAACAGGTTCTCCACCCTTGAGCTAAAGGCTAGCAGGTGTAAGGTGGCTGTATCCACTACAGTCCTGCCTGTTTTCAATTATCTATTTTCGTGCTTTGCATATTATGAACCAGGTGGGGAAATTAGTAATGGATGCCATGCTGAGTTTGAGAAAAGCACATCCTGCTGTTTGGCAGGACTGGAGTCCCAATACACTGGCGTGTACCATCACTGTGAAACGAACTATGGTATTTTTATATGTATAAACATTTTTATTTATAGCATCATAGTTACACTTGCTGTCCAGAGGATTGTGTAAATGGCAAGATTCCCCCCTCCCCAAAAAAAGGACAGCTGGTGGCAGCTAACATGCAGTTGATATTTGCAGCTGCACCCACAAGACATGATAGATTTGTGGTTAAAACTATCAATGTGTTTTGGCCCTTGTTGTGATCATGTTTTTTTTTTTGCATTATTTGTACTTTGACGGACTATCATTGTATATTGAAAATCACTTGAAGTCCTTGTGCCATACTGCTTGTTCTGGAGAATTTGTCAGTGTATAGGTCTTCATATTATCAGTAACAGAAATCAATCATTGAAACCCACTTGTTGGTGGAATTAGTGAAATCAGTTACCAACTGGTTTAACCCTATTCCACTGGTTACTTTTTCTGGTTCCAGTTGGTGGTGACTGGTTGGTGTCCGATAGTGCTAATCCAACTCAGTGGCTCTGACGATTTATCTTCTCTCATCATGTAAGCTCAAAGAGATCATGTAGTCACTAATGGAGAACCATGACATCATGTCAGTGACAGTCATCCTTCATGTCTTTTTGATGTAACTCATGGATTTTCGACAACCTGTTTCAATAAATAGTGAACCGTGTGCTGCGTTTACCTGCGTGTCTCATCAGCCTGAAGTGCCCCTTCTCAGCTGATCTGCCGTGGGTCATTTGGCAGCTCCGAGCTGTTATATTATCATTCTTCTGTGTTACTAAATAAATCCAGAGACTGCGAGCATTTAGCAGAAGCTGAATCACTGTGCCCTGCTCGGCAGTCCTGTGTTTCGTTTAAATGGAGAAAGTCGGGATCGAACTGAAATGGCTTAAACAACTGCTTGTTTTAAAATGCTTTAGTGTAGGACAGAGCACAAATAGCTACAGCAAACAGAACAAACGGCGTTGGCAGATCTCTATTTTATACTGTTCTTGCCTGATGTGAGGGACAGGACATGCTGTAGAAGTATGCATGGGTCCTGCAATGTTGTTTGGGGGGTGGGAAATTCCTCAGTTCTGTGATTTATTTTTTTAGGGATTTTTCTGGTCAGTAACATACCTCAAATCTCAGGTGAAACTGCCGATTGTCCGTGAACGGACTTGTCCATGGGAAATTGGGATGGCATGGAAACTGGCACGATCCGAGGGCCCAAACATTCTCAAATTCCTTATGTTCCTCCACAGTCCATTAGAAAGCTGCTGGTTTCTCCAGCTCTTCAGTACCAGCTTAGAGGACCAGCAGCCATAATGTCTGGAGATGGTGCCCATGTAATAAAACAGATCGAACAAGGCACACTGTCCCTGAGATAAAACTCTTCTAAGGACAGCAGTTTGTGAATGCAGTGACACAATACATGGACATCTTTTCTAATGCATTTCTACGTTAGTGGGACGGGGAAAATGTCTTGGGACCCTGTCTGCAATTTGCTGTGAAGCTGGGTATTTTACACACATTCATACACACTGGAAAAATAACAGATTTTACAACATATCTGGGAGCAAAGAACTAAAGTTCTACATAAAGGTTTATAAAAAAAAAAACCAACCAAACCAAGCAAGCCACTTTATGTAAAGTATCCCAGAAAAACTCGCTAATATGCTCATGCTAAATGTTGCATGTGTTAGCTGCGGATGAAATTAAACGACCAAGAATTTGTCCTTATTATCGCCTAGGTGTAAATTCCACCGTTTGACGCTGACCTTCCTGATGTCACCTGTTCAAGGATGTCCCTGATATCTGTGCAGTAAACCTTCCTGAAAAAGCACTACGTTTCTGACATGGTGCAGCAGACCCATAAAGGGTTGTGCAACTGTTTCTCCTATGAGTTACTGTGACCTTTTTCCTTGTAAGATGTGAAATCACAGCGCATGAGGATCCACGGTGTGTTTTTCGCTTCTTTTTCTCCTCCGGTCACCTCTGACCCCCACATTGCTCACACCTTCACTGTTAGGACACAGAGGAGATGGGATTGTGCGGGGAGCCCATTTGGGTAAGAACTTTGTCCAGCCATTGGAGAGGGCCGTGCAGGTGGATCTCCACCCAGCAGGGGGTGCTAGTGACGTCCTGTCGGTGGTACTCTGCTCCCCAGCCCTGTGAAGTGTTCGTTGAATGGGGTGGGGGGAGAGACAAAAAAAGAAAAAAAGGACACCTCAGTGTTAATTGTCTGCATTGCAAGGCCCAGCACCAAACACATGCAGCTCCGGGTAGGATGTTAAGCCTCCGAATGTCTCCCTAAATCACTGCCCTCTGCAGCGGGATTGATAGCGTCTGCAAAGCTGGTTCACGCACACGCACGCGGGCAAGAAGTGGACCAGTGGACAGGACGCAGTGGTCCTCTCTGAGGGCTTGGTGACGTGCATAGTAACCGGAGACTCATTAAATCTCCACCATGTGCCTTGGCTCGCACTTCAGTTTGTGTGTGCGCCCCAGTATCAAAATACCACCAGATTCTGTTACCACAGCAACACACAGTAGAAATTCTATTTGGGCCCTCGGTCGGATGTGATGTCGCGGCCCGGAACGCGACCCGTCCACTTCATTGGTCCACAGCGCTAGGTGGGAATGTGTCTGTTATCTGATAGTGCCAGGATCTCCTGAACTCTGATCAGTAAGCTTGAGAGGTTAAACCTTGCAGGGGTACGTGCCAAGCTACAGACTACACCTTCACCACTCCATCATGGTTATGCAAACATTTAAAGCACTGATTATTTTTTTAGAAGGCTATATATAAGATGACTTGAGGAACATGAAAAAGTGAACTCGCTACTTGTGAGTTGACAGTCCTGCACACCTGCAACCCTACCCTGCGATTGTGTGGTTCTGCGGCGTGCCAGTGGCTTCTCACCTTGACGAAGCTCATGCGGATGGTGCACATCTTGGTGAGCTCGTAGACCACCTCGAAGCCGTGGTTGACCGACTGCGAGAGCAGCTGCGCGAACAGCTGGTTGTTGAAGATCTTGAGGCTGCAGCCGCTGGGGATCTTGCAGACGGTGGTGGCGTGGAAGCCATGCTGGTAGTTGCAGTTGCGGCTCTGCACGAAGATGCTGCTGTCGCTGAGGCACTCGGCGTAGACCTCCCCGCCGACATAGTATAGGTGCACACCTGTGTGGGGGGGTCGGGCAGGGGGAGGGGCTTAGGGCGATGTTTGCAATGCTGCCAAAAATGTACATTACAAAAATAGGAATGGTAATAATGGTAAAACTTTATGGGGCACAAATGTAGTATTATGCTATTATTTATGTATTAATTAACCACAAACTAAATCTTAGTTACATTCTGATCTCATGTTAATTCATCATTAATGAATCATGCAATGAATGAAGCAGTTACTATTCTGTAAACCTTTGTGAACTACTGAAGGAACAAGTCATGAATAACACAAGTTATGTGGTCATGTTTGTTCATTAATGAATTGATCTTCTCTCAAGTAGTTTGTTCATGATTTGTTCATGATTTGTACATTACTAGTAACAGAGTTGTTACCAAGTATTTGAGGCCGGTCAAGAAAAGTATTACTGTAATAATACAATGGATGGAAACAAAACTTATTTACCTATGTATTTATTTTCTACATTTATCACCACACGCCTGGCTTTAAAAACCTGCCGCAATTTAGACAGTTAAGCAGACCACTCAGAAATGCATCACTCGGATGAGGCAGCACATTCTCGCTCCAAATGCAGTCAGGAAATGACAGCGGGTGCCGCAAAAGCCGTAGCTGCAAGCCCTGCTTTGCCGAATCCTCATCCGACATTCACCACTTAAAGGTCAATTACAATGTTGCTCAAAGATAGATTCAACACAGATGAGAGTTCATCAGAAACGGTCCCCGAGGTAGCAGGATTGAAGCTAATTATTAAATGGCAGTGAAGCAGGCCTCAGGCTGTTAGGAGGAATATAAACATATCCAGCTGGATGCTTTCAAGGCTGCATGGATAGATTTACTTCCGCAACCACAAGACCCAGTTAACAGTGGCCACTTTATCCAAAGGAGAAAGAGAGAGAATCCTGGAATGTGTTCAATCATCTTTTACAAATAAAGCAGATGATTTAAAAATCATTCGCATAACTTGGGACTTGGAGTGGATGGCATGACCTAAAATCAATATTATAATATGTAAAAATATTTGTGTCAATAAAAACAATAATTAACCCAGCAAAATCTAGAACATTGTCACAGATTCCTGAAAATGAATAGTCAGTGGGATTAAATTATTTAAACATGCTTAACCGTTAAAGCTGAGTCTGCTTCATGCCATTTCATACACTGGTAGCCAAAATAGTGGAAATACGTCCAATTTTTAGAGATTGCAGAACTTCAACTGCTGCTGCAGTTACATATTTAATCGTGCAGCGTATGATATTTGTAACATTCCTTGATTGTTTGTAAACATTACTGCCAAAATGTATGTAGTCATTTTTAAAGCGTAACGCCAAAAATGCTAGGTGTTTCCACAATTTTGGCCACCAGTGTATCTATATGAGGCATAATTCATAGAGGCAAATAAAATGTTCAGTAGTTTGTACTAATGTTCTAAGAAAACTAGAACTTTATTGGTTTTGCTTAAAAGTGCAATCCTAATAGTAACGCAATTAATTGTTCTTATCAGAATCATGGTTGTTCTAGCCTGGTTCGTTGTTAGCCATTGTTAGCAATACCAGTTGATAACAATGCATTGTGTGGTATTTCGTGCATAAAATCACCGTCCACAAATAGGTTGGACTATACTGTGTGTATGACTGATATAATGAGACATATATAAGACACTTAACTCCCATAACTCTTTATTGTTGATGCAGGGAGCAGTCATCTTGAATTCAGAGGTCGGAGCTGTAGAGGTCTCTCCGACTTTCCGAGTTGAAAGTCTGACTTCAGGGAGCGTTCCAACTAGGAACTTGGAAATTCCGACTTTCCAACTTTCCAGTTCAAATTGAACGCACCATAATTACTAAGCATACCGACATCTGCGAAAATTAGGTCAGTAGGTGCCGTTTAATGTCGGTATCGGTAAAATCTTGCTACGGTGCCCAGACTAACTTGGGACTTATGAACTGTGCTTAGGCAGTCAACCTGTCTGGCGTGTCGGGGACCTCAAGTCTTGGTTCAGTAAATGGGCCCAAATGAGCAGACAGACAGCAAACTTTCCCATGTCTAGCAGACCTGTGTGAATCATGATATCATGATGCCCCCCCATCCCCTTCCTCCCCACAAGGAATTCATTTCCATGGCAACCCTGTTCAATCATCAAAAAGCCAAAAATCAGACAGTGCGCATATTTTCCCCTCAGTCACATGACACCCACCAGGGTTCCCCCTGGAGTTTGATTTCAATTCTTCACTTTTCTTTGTATTTTTGATTCTACTAATCAAATTCTTCACTTTTTTTCAGCATCCGTTTTTTTTAGTCACTCTCTCGCCGTTTCTTAATAAATTAATCATTAAACTTACTGAATATACATCTCTTCTGACAATCACACTGTGATTGGTCAACTAACGGCATGGGCGAGTCACGAGTCTACTTGATAAGGTTGGGAGAATCGTGAATACTGTGTAAAAATTTGCGTGCTGAAAACATGATGTATAGCACGCATTTCGGAAATAATGTTCTAATTACTATATATATATATATAAGGTAAGCTAATACTTTCCCGGTGTTTCATAGTACCTTTGAGAGGGACATTCTAAAACGCTTAATGTGAAAACGGCTAATGTGGTTTAATGTACCAAAATAGCGACCAATAATCACCAAATTTCGCACACACACATCTGGTCGTCATAAAGACTTTCACCTGACAAAAAATCAAAACAGAAATACAAGGAATATGGACTTTATTTTACCCTAAGCGGTTTCCCCTCCATTGACGCCCATTATTATGATTATAAGGAAAAGGCTTAATGTAACTTAAAGTACCAAGACAGCCACCAAAAATCACCAAATTTCTCACACATATATCTGGTCATAAACACTTTCAGCTGACAAAAAATCTAAACCGAAATACAAGGAATATGGACTTTATTTTACATTAAGCCTTTTCCTTATAATGGGCGTCAATGGAGGGGAAAACGCTTAACGTAGTATAAAGTCCTTATTCTTAGCATTTCGGTTTAGATTTCTTGTCAAGTGAAAGTGTTTCTGACCAGATATATGTGTGAGAAATATAGTGATTTTTGGTGGCTGTCTTGGTACTTTTTGGTCGCTATTTTGGTACATTAAACCACATTAAGCGTTTTAGAATGTCCCCACACCGATCGATAACATTTGCTACTTTTAGAACGGCCCATGCTCATTTGACATGGATGATCGACGATCAGGCGCCGGGCCAGTTTTGATTAGGCGCTACGGGTGCTACGGTTGAAAATTGGGAAAAAATGAAATTCGACTTTTCAAAAATTCAAAATTCGTCATTTGAAAATTGAATTCGCCAGAGTGACGATTTGATGCCGTTTTTCTTCGTCACCATGGGTTCCGTTTTCGTCAATGACGAGAGTGACGAGCGGCAGCGGGAACCCTGACCCACTATCATTCTCTTTATCTAGTCGCCTCTATTCGCACCTTCTCCACCTGCTCCAGCGACAGGCGGGCACCCACCTTTGCCAATATGCCTGCGTGTGTGTTCAATGGTCGAGTTGCGGTTGACGTTGGAAAGCAGGCCTAGGCAGAAGCGACTCTTGTTGTTGGAGGGGTCGGTGAAGCCGTCCACCAGGATGCTCCGTGACGAGGCGTGGAAAGTCTCGCCCACGCGGTTGTTGAGTTCGTAGTACGCCACCGAGCACCAGTACTCGGGCTCCTCGTAGCATACTGGCCGCAGGTCTGCAGGCCCAGAGGTCAAAGGTAACACACCTGCCCTTAATGTAACACAGACACTTACCTTTTTCACAGGGCTTACATAGAAATATAATTTTTGAAATATCCATTCTCCATCTGTCAAACTAAACAGGTCAGGGCCACAGGAATCTTAAAATGTCAGGTAACTTTTTGTAAGTACTGAAAAAAATATTTCCGCTCAATTATATCGGACAAGTAGTACAATACACTTTAATCTAAGGTTTTTATATGTACACAGTGACATCCATTAGGATAAGCAGTGTTGGACATTTCAGGTCTAGTAACTACAAATCCAGACCAGGATTTTCTTTCTACCAGCCAGTTCAGCATAAAGAGTCACCATCAGAAAGCACTCAACTGGTTGGTAGAAACAAAATCCTGGTCTGGATTTGTAGCTTCTGGACCTGAAATGCCCAACACTGAGAATAAGGTGCCATTGTCGTGGGTTGGGTACCTATTTCCATTTGCATACACTAAGAAAACATAAGGGGACCAGGTTACCTATAGAATCCTCCCTGTGATTTTCTGCAGGTTCTAAATAGGAGACATGTGGACATCTCACCTCTGTGGGGTGCAGAGAAGACCAGTTTGTTGGAAGAATCACCCGGCTTCACGTCCTCGGGCGTCTCTGTCATGCTGTAGGGTGGCGGTGGTGTTTCAGCTGTGGGGGAGGGAGGGGTGGTGGTGATGACAATGGATATCTGACAGTAGTGCTTCTCATGTGACTGAAGTATGACCTCATGTCCCAGCAATGCCGAAACGGCACCTCCCCCCAAAGGCGGGTTCCGTAGATTAAAAGTGAAACTTTTTGCTAATTTCCGCCACCGGCCAGCGTACCTGTCACCTGATAAGGGCTCCCCGGCTCAGCAGCACTCCCTGGTGAGTTTGGGTAGCTGATCGTGCTGGGAGACTGTGTGAGGGAGCCGGCTGGGGAAGAAGAGTAGGCGGCGCAAGGGTGCGGCGGGAAGGAGTCCGGGTAGGTGGCGTTCTGTGGCATGAGCGGCTCGCTGTGGAGGGAGGCGCTGCGGAACTTGGCCAGCAGGCTGTGCTGGGGGTTGAACTCGCTGTGTCGCGGGACCAACACAGGGGGCAGCACTGAACACCGGGGGTGACACACACGAGAAAAAAAGACAATGGGAAAAACACCCAGGAATGAGTTGCGTGCACCTCCTACTTTGAAGAATAGTGGAGACAGTATGTTGCATGGTGACAAGTCACACAAAGTCCTGAGGAGGTCACTAATTTGAGTCTCTGAGGCAATGCTACTATCGCTGTAAGACAGATAACATGACTCTAGGTGTTAAAGTCACTTTAGATCAGGGGTGTCAAACTCCAGTCCCGGAGGGCCAGAGCCCAGTGTAGCTTAGCTCTTTCAGCTCAAGAGCTGTGTGGTAATTAGCACATGGAGTTGCAAGGAGTAGAATCAGGTGTGTGTTAAATGAGGGGAAACCAAAAAATTTGCAGGGCTCTGGCCCCCCAGAACTGGAGTTAGACACCCCTGCTTTAGATAAAAAAAGACTTCAATTTATTTAGCAGACATACATTTTTTTTTTGAGAAAGTAGGGTCAGGCAGTCCCTGGAGTAATTGGGGTTATCAGCCGTGCTCACGGGCCCAACTGTGAAATCTTTCAGCCAACCCTGGGATTTAAACCAGCAACCTTCTGATCACAACCACAATATCCTGAGCCACAGGTCACACCTGCCCACTAATTATTGGGAAAAGTCAATGAGGTAACCGGCAAACGCAGGCTACCTGGCGTCTCCACGCGTCGGTAGTGGTAGGGGTTGATGCAGATTTCCTTCTGCTTGGAGCCGAAGGGGAACTCGCAGCAGTCGAGGGCCTTGAGCTCGTGGTGGGACTGCAGGTCGGGCCAGCGCCACACGCGGCAGTAGATGACGTGCGGCAGGCCCTTGCGGTGTGACACCTGCAGCCGGCCGTCCAGCGAGCGCGGGATGGTGACGCACTTGCTGGGCTGCCCCGGGCAGCTGAGGGCGCGCTCCAGCTCCTCCATGGCCCCCTTCTTCTTCTTCAGCTTCTTCACCAGGGCGTCCACCGCCTTCTCTGCCCATTTCTCCTCCTCGTCGCCCTGCTTCCAGCCCAAGAGGCGCTTTACCGCCGGGCTGGTGAAGGAGAACAGGGAGGTGATGGAGGTGGTGGAGTGCATCGTGATGGTCCCGGGGACGGGGGAGGCAACCAAAGGGGGGGAGGGGCTTGATGTGGGAAGGGTTGGCTGACGGCAAGCGTGGGGGGGAGGCGAGGCGTGTGTGCGGCTACTGAGAGGAGAGGGGCGCTTCCCTGGGAATCCGGAGAACCACTGGCAGAAACTGAAGATGTACCGGAATTCCTGAAAAATCTGGCACAGGGTGAGAGAGCAGGGGCGGTGGGGGGGGGGGGGGGGGGGGGGGATTGGGAGAGAGATCAATGATGGTGAGGGTTTCCAATAATGAGTCAAATGTCCCAACAAACTTTACATCATCTGCCCAGAACCAAGAAAGTTTGTGCTGAGCCTGATATTTAATCATCTAACGAGGAAGACATGCACACACTATAATCAGGGGTCACTTTACTCAGCAGTGTACGATAGTTTGATATTGGAGGGGACACAACTTAATCATTTAAAACAAAGGCCTAATTATTGAGCGACTGAATGAATCCAAATTAAGTATTGGGGTGTGCAGGGTCCCACCATACCTTGGTCAGTAAGCCCCTGTTCACTCAAGCACGTGATAACAAATTTCATATTTTTACCTATAACCTACAGACAAAAATGCTCCATACTGTAGTTCTACTGCACACTTTGTCATGCCACAGCTGCCACCGTGCCTGTGGTGTCGCTGATTCGGAAAATCACCACTTGCCAAAACCTTTTTGCAACACCTCAAGTCCCACCCCCTTAATTAAAACCCCCTTCCCAACTTGCCGCGATCTATTGCCTTTAACGGACAGTGGTGAGAGACCAAGTTGTCTCCTTTTCTCTTACACACTACAAACCTTCCGTTCGACTGTGGAGTTGGAATTTTATTGGCACCCACGCCGACTGGCAACACTCGGTGGAATTTTGTCGACCCAGGCATCAAACGCACATGTGCAGTAGCCCCCCTCCCCCTCCCGTCCTACTGTACTTTATTAATAAGGCAGTGAGGTAACATAAACTTCCAATTCCACATCCAGTCCAAAGAGGTATGCTTTCCACCAGCGGACGTAAGGCATCCTCTAATATCGACTTTTTAAAGCTCCTCTCTCTCTCATTGTATATCAGCCCGCGCTTACTGCTGACCTAAAGTGGACTGACACTGCAAGCGATAGGTACCTCAATGTAAATTTCTATATAAAAAAAATAACATACTCCTATACACTACTCTGCCAAGACAAAGCCCCTATATAATTTAAGCACGCAAGTTAAATCCGCTAAGAAAACCAGAATCGTCTTTTACAAAAGCAAACAATTCACATCCAAGTGCTTCAAATAATGTAAAGTAAAAAATTGTATAAACGCAGTACGCTTCGTCTTGCAAATAAAGTGGTAATTCCGAAGGATTTACTTTTCTTGGCACAAAATGAAAACAGGCGTTCACTTCAGTGCGGCATCAGTACTTCTGTTCCGTTCTCATTTTCCTTTTTATGAAACTGGCGTCGGCCAGTCTACCGACTCAGATAGGCTTAATCACCTAGGCCTATTACTTCGCTATCGGGACCCCCCCTCAAAGCAAACAGGCGCGTTTCCTCTCGATAAACCCCGGATCACGGTGACTTCAGAATGCAGCAAATGGGCTGAGCTGCTCGGTCTGCTGACACGAAACACCTTGAGATGTCAACGGGATCAGGTAATAACCGCACACGGCGCAGCCCCGCTTACCGAAAAACCTGCCCCTACCACGTTGCTCCAAAACTGACATTTACAGCTGTAAATTATTATTTTACATTTTCTGCAGGAAATTAATATACAGTTTGATTATATTGTTTTACTGGAATTAACTTTAGGTTATACTCTTTATAAATATTTGTACATTTTTATTGATAGGATATATATTAAGCACCGATATAAATATATAATACAAAAATAAAAGTCGAAAAGAAAAGTAAGATCACAATCAAAATGGCTCGCTGTAATTTTTCCTAATGAAACTTTCTGAAATATACGATGTTAGGAAAAAAAAATGTTTTAAAGCCACACAAACAATTATATACCTGTGCAATAACAGAAAAAAAAATGGACATGTCATAGCAGAGAGAGAAACGTCCACCTCCATTGCGGAGAGTTTTCGCCCCTTACCTTGTGCGTCTTAGCAGAGGCAGCCACCCCCGCTGAGTTGCTCGCGCTGTGAAGGTGTGGAGCGTCTGCTTGCTAAGGAGCCGGAGCAGCGGCGCAGCCCCGGCGTCAGCCAGGCTGGAGCCTCAGCGCCTTCGTGCGGAATCCATCCGCTGGCTCTGGACCGCTCCCAGGACCTCGGCGCTCTAGTCCGACGGAGGCGGAGACGCGACGCTCCCTTAATTAATATTATCTGCGTGCCGGGAAGGAGCGCTTGCTCATCGACACACTGTTATACCTATTCTAGTGTTTGTTGTGGTATTTATTTATTTATTTATTTTCCAAATGTGCTTATATTACGAAATGAAAGAGCTGACAAGCGCACCTGTTCTGACCACCGTTTACAGTAGTTTAATAAAACTATAAATAGCAAACACTCCGTAAGTTTGGGTTCAATACATTCATTGTGCGCTGGCGATGACAATGAGTTGATCTCCACCAGCAAAAAAAAAGATACTGCACAGCGTAAATAATAAGTTCATTTAATTGTCCATCCATGAGAACTAAAGCGGTTCCATACAAGGAGTTTCCTACGCGACAATTAGCAGTTTTACGGCGCATATGCAAAGCAGATAACTTGAGGGCAGTCAGGGGTGGGTCACGATCTAACCCTGCCTGGCTAGGGTCAATAGTCATTCACTCATGTAATTTGACAGGCCTAGAGAGTTATGTAATATTACTCTGATTAGAATACTATGCCAAACTCTTAATACAAAACCAGTAAAATTGCCAATAATTCAAACTGATTTGGTGATAATCAGGAATTTAGGCATTTTCGAGGATTTTGTTTTGTATTTGATAGTGTGAACTATAGCTTACAATAAGAAAAAAATGTTTACAAATGACAATCTTGAGAGAAAATAGCCAGATATCCTTTACTGTGATATGTTTTGCCAAGCCACTCTCAGCTACCTGTTAAAATTTCCCCGTATTCTGTTCACCTCTTGGGGTAAATTATTGCGGGTGGGGGCTCGGGGGCTGGATACATGGGTTCAGACTCGGGCACATGCCGGCTGCAGCAGGAACGCTTTCCAGCTCCGGTGAGCCTGACTGCGGGAATATCGATCTCGGCGGAGCCCGTCCGCTCATTGCGGATGGATACATTTCGATCCTGAGTGTGCGGTGACTGGTCCAGTTAATGACGCAAGCCGGGCTGGCGACACACAGTCTGGGACTTTGACATTTTCGCATTCGAGAACAACTGGGAAGGAACGTAACAATGCTTTTCGAATACGGGTTACGTGAATGTCGACACCTGAAAATTAAGAAAAACAAATCAGTGTGCACAGTATACAGTGATATCACAAAGTGAGATGTTAAATAAAGCACAAGGTTTTAAAACGTCTGGGCGCGCAACGTCGAACAGAACAAGGTGCATCGTATTTAATCTCCACCGTAAGATTATTTGTCTGGATCGCACGCGCGGCAAGTTTAGGACAGGAAACAAAATATTTTAAAATTATAAATATCAACACACAATACCCAGGCAACGGGGTCTAGGAATGAGAAAAAGATATGAAGAGAAGGAGAGAAAGAAAGAGAATGACTTCCTGGCATAGAGACAGACAGGAGAGGACAAACAGGATATACTCCCCAGGGTACTGAACAGCCCACAAAAACATCCACATTATTAGGTTTGGAGTCTTCGCTAGACCTCAAAATTACACAAGAAAACAAATTATAACGGGACCTCGTATATTAAAACAGAAATGCTTCTTCTGAGTTGTTCCAAATTAAAAGCACCGAGAATACGGCACACAACCGTTTTAAAAGTGCTCTCATTAGCTCCTCATAAATAGGTGCGTCAGTATTCCAGGATGCATGTGCAAAAAGTACTGTTTAAATTGTAAATAATATTCTTTGTAAACCATTGAACCAATGATATTGTATTAACTGCAGACACACATTTTCTGTTTAATAAAATTTATTTCACTGCACTTAGCAGCTAATTTAGTGGCATGTTGAGGTGTAATTCCGGGTTTCTCAGCCAGTGCGGGTTCGGATGTGAGATGGACTGTAGCAGGGAAGCGTGATTCTCTTGGCAAAGGGCCGCCGCACAGACGCGAACCCGATTGGCGTCCGGCAAAATTGGCGAAACGTACAGATGAGACGAGGATTAGCGCCCCCACCCCCCCTCGCCGGCCCTAGGGCGCCGACATGAGAAATGTTTAATAGCCGGGCCTTGCGCTCGGAAAGAATGAGAAACCCCGATTGCTATGCAAATATAAAAGTCGTAATTAAAAAAAAAACATAAACGACATATTAATTTGTTTTGTCTTGCTGAACATTATTTAATTAAATTTATACTCGATGATTGTTTACTTAACTAATCTGCGTTCCAGTCCAAGGAGTCTCTTTACTGTAATGTAATGAGACAGCGCATGCGCTCGTCGTGAATGGGCTTGTCATTGCAGCACTCTTTGTAACAATTTTCAATTATAAACCTAGTTGCCCCTTGCTTAAATTAGTAAGACGTGCACATAATTTGCATCGATTACTTAATATCAGTTCAGTTCTGTTGTTCTACATAAGATATTTAGCTCTGTGTAGATCAATGCATATCAAACAGAACTTAAGTAAAAATCTAATTTTGACGTACAATCCTGCAGCTGACCGGTGAGATACTTCAAAGCGTTGCATGATAAATCTCGCACTGTTCAATGCACAGGGCCAACAGCAATGGCATCCCATGCCTCACACACAGCCTCACATAACTTTTACTATCGCAGGAAGATGCACGTGGCATTTACAGGGATAGCTCTGTGGGAACAGTCATGTGACTGCAGCATTTCGAGCAGACGGACGCCCTTAACCTCAATTGCTCTTGGGATACAGTTTGATCCTGCTTTGACCCCCAACTGTATGTCTCTTTGGACAAAAGTGTCTAAGTACATAAAAGCAATATAGCATTAAAAACAGTGCAAACACACGCAACATTAAATTTGTTTTTCTGTATTTTTCCAACGAATTTGTTTTAGGGCTACCCTCACAGTTAATTCAGTGAGGGAAAACCTCTTTAAATGCAAATAGAATTGAAACATGGCATCTACAGTTCAAGTGAACAAAATCAGAATATAAAATAAAAATAATCATTGATAGCACTATGTGTCCATCATTGCGTCCTATCACACCCCACCGACATCAGTCATTGTGTCGTACACAGCATTAAAACCGTATGTAACAATGGATGGGCGCGCATCCAGAGCGCCGCCGTACACGTGGCTGCACTCTGCGTCTAGTCGGCTTTCTCCCGGGACTGCAACCTCCAGACGCCGGTTAGGTAGCGCAGGCGGATGAACACCAGGTCCATCCCCATCTGCAGCCAGCTCCAGAACGGCACCAGCTTGGACCCTGGGAACGAGCGGCCAGACAAGGGGTGTGAACTGGCCATCGTCACGGCGACCACATCAAAGAAACCGTAACGTGGCAACAGCCAAATACTGTGGACAGGTACCAAAATAGTATGCCCTCGCTGGCCCTGCATGACTGTCTGCCCCAACCAAATGTTTGTTCTCTCCTCATGTTTGGTGTTTTAGGCCCATGGGCAAAGGTACCTTGGCAGATTCAGGGGGCTCAGCACTTTATAAGGGCCCCAAAGCCTACAGTTGGGGGCCCACTTGGCAAAACCTACTGAGGCACGCATGGGAGTTCTACTTATAAAAACATGTTCTGAGGGCAGAAGAAAAAATAATAGGTTGTCTCTCTGAACCAAATCAGATTGTAGAGGAGGTGGGTCCAAGCAACTAGAGGAGGTGGGACCAACCAATCAGATATGTTGGTCCCGCCTCCTATAGTCGCTTGGACCCACCTCCTCTACAATCTGATTGGTTCTCTCTCTCAACCAATAATTTTTTCTTCTGCCCTCAAAACATTAAAACCTCCAGGAGCTACTGAAGCCCCCCCAGCAAATTATATACAAGTGGGACCAGTATTTCTTTAAAATGCCAACCTACATTTCTAGTAACACCACAGATTAGGCCCCCAGACAGAATGCATATACAGTGCATTTCTTGAACTACTGGAAATGTGCAAACTGGCTCTAAGCCCAGACCCTGTATATATCTAACTCCAGTCGAGACAGATAAAAGGAGCATCGCCTTTCAGACAGACTCTAGTCCTCCTGGAGGGCAGTTATCGGTTACCCACCTTCAATCTCCGTCCAGTTCACCGCCACCTCTGCAATGGGGATCTTTAAGCACTGGGCGATGTACAGGAGCTCCACGTCGAAGGCCCTGCAAAACACCAGTGACACTGATACTACACAAAGTCTCACTCTACATGTCTCTCATGTGTTGTTCCCTGATAATGGAATGAGCCGCTGAACCACATCCGATCATCAAACTCCCTTTCTACCTTCAAGAAACGGCTCAAGATACCTCTTTTCCAGGAATTCCTGTACTAGCCGGATATCTCTTTCGTTGCATAGCTCCTGCTCTCATACTGCTTACAATCGTACCTCTGTGTTTATTAGAAGCTCAGCCTAGCTGCACTTATGCCCAGTCGACTCCTTGACAGCCGTATTTTTATAAAGTGCTATTTGCCTCACTTGAATGTCACAAAAACATCTGCTGAATAAAAATAAATGTCAAAACATATAAAATATAAACAAGCAGAAACATGTATGTTCATGCATGCTCATGTCTGCTTGCCTACTAGGCTACGGCGTGTGGCTTCTTTGCCATTAAGTGCATTGTGAGTTTGCGTGAAACACGCCAGTGCAAAACCGCGCGCATGGCGATGTACTCAGCGATTTAATTTGACTGACTGGGACTTCATGCCGCACTGCCTGTGCCTTAACCACAGTGGCACTAAATCAAAACACGGAGGATCCCCTGTAATCACCACGGCAAATGGAAAGCCGCGTTCAAAGCATGCCTCACGCTACGACATTGGAGCGGAGCCTCGGACCGCTGCGGAAAAAATTCTTTGACATTTAAATCGCGCCCCCCCCCCCGCTTTGCAATACGGATTGAGGTGGCTGAGTGGGGGGTTGGGGCGCAGGATCAATGAGGCTGCAGGTTTGCATTTCTCTGTCAGGTGAGTGGGGGGGCCTTGATCACAATGTGGAGCGCCCCCCCCCGAAACTGAATCCTGCACCACCCCCGCAGCTAAATTAAACTGCTCTTGGTAACTGGGTGCCACTGCTCCAGTGTTGTGGCCATCAGCGGAAGGCTCTGGTAGCACAGGTGGACAGCAAACCTTAACCGAAATGCGATTTATTGATCAGAACCTGCTGCAGAGCCGCTGTACAAAGGAACACGCTCACTTCAGAGGATGATGAAAATGACCTTCCACAAAACCCACAGAAATAAAATTCTGCACCGTGATGTTCCTCTGAGTCCATGCCCTTGACTAGGAGGGTACCTGCCATCCCAACTCAGCTCAGCTCTCATGCAAAGGGAGCACCCTGAGCTCTGGACACCTACCAGCGCTCCACGTGCAGAATGGAGAAGGTCCTCAAAGCAGCTTCCCGGGTGAACAGCTTGAAACCGCACTGGGTGTCCCTGATGCCCCTCACGCAGAAGAACCACACGAGAAAGTGGAACCCGTACATCAAGAAAGTCCGGAACACAGAGCGCTGTGGTGGGCAGGGTCAGGGTCACATTACCAAACTAGAATTTACTGTAAATATTGCAAGACAACAGCTCCCACTGACAAGATTCACTGTACTTTTGAATGATAATGAATGAATGCAATTTTATTGATCCCCATGGAGAAATTCTCTTTTCCCCTGTCCCACCCTGCTCTCAACAAGGACACACACAGATGAGAGCAAGCTTGGGGATTACAGCGAAGGGCGGCCACCTATGGCGCCTCTGGGACTTGGGGTTTAGAGCCTTGCTCAAGGGCCCATGGTAATGAAGAACAAAATGACGCTTCATGAACCATTTGCTGTATTTTTTGGCCCCACTAGATGGTGCTCTTGATTTGCATTAGGACATGCTTTGTGCCCTTTTTCTGTGCAGAGAGCTCCATCTAGTGGGGTCAAAAAAATACAGCAAATGGTTCATGAAGCGTCATCTTGTCACTAGCCCACAGACATGTGACTATTCTGCTGATGCTGGACTGGAACCAGTGACCATTCCATCACAGGCAGAGGCTTAGCTAATAAAACAACTGTTAAAACACCTCTGTAGTATAATTTTACGTACCCATTTTCTAGCTCATGGATAAACTATGCAGAATAGAAATGCAGCCAACAACATCAACACAAGCATTAAATACCTGAGCTACAGACTCCTTCTCCAAATGTGCCCTGGATCCACAGGAAATGGCCATGTTCTCCTGCAAGGCAGACATTGCTAATCAATCGCTGCACAGATCCCACTGTCATTGCTCCCAGGGTAAGCCTTGTGTCCAGTGCACTGAAAATGGTGTGGCGCACACAGGCATGCAAGACCCACTGGTTTTGGGTTGATATCCTGGAGTGCAGCCTCCACCTTCTCCAGGTCTGGGAACTTTGTAGCGCCGTCTGCATCCGCCATCAAGATGAGCTTCCCCCGAGAGCTCAGTGTGCCCTGGATGGAAGATCACATGGCAGAAAAATCCCCCCGGCCTGCTATGTCGCTTAAATTCTAACCGAAACACAGTAGCAAAAATTAAGAGCTTTAGCCGACTTTTGACATGCAAGCAGGATCAAACAGGGGAAGAGAATATAAATGATGACATGTCTGAGTAAAATGTATACAGTTCAAAACAATTAACTGTAACAAGAGCACTGGGTGCTTTTGGTGGGTTGTGTTAATTTACCACATTTTCTTAGCAGAAACAAGCCAACGGCAGCAGAGAGTAGCACAACCACAGGACTCACCATCATCACGGCACCCCCCTTGCCACGGTTCTTCACCAGGGTTAGAACTCTGACCTTACTGGTGCCGTACATCTTAGTGTATCCCAAGGCCACCTGGGTGGGGGAACAAAGCCTCCATGAAGCAGAGCGTTCCACAGTTAGGAAGCTCCCAGACTACAAGTGGGGGTCCTATCCCTATGGAGAAAGGGCTTTGACCTGACAAACTAGTGGATAAGAACCTAATCTGGGAATCAAGAGTCTACTGGTTCAGGAGTTATAAGGTGACCTGGTATTAACCATGAAAAACGTACAAAATTTTTTATTAAAAACAATGAAATACTGGGCTGTTTAATAAGAGAAGTTAAGAAATGAAAAGCAATGAAAACAATCAAATATTAGGGATACAAACACGTCCTCAAAATAAAAAAATAATTATTGCTGAAATTAAATTATTATAAATTACATAAATACACGCGTATTAAAATCGTTGATGTTTACCTCTGTAGTCTTATCTTTACTGCCATCATCAACCACAATGACTTCATAGGTGAATGACGACTGCTGCTTCTGCAAGAAGGTAAAGAAACATCGCCATTGGGCTGAACAGCTCAAATATTGTACATTACTGCCACCTATTGGCAGCTTATTATAACGCACCGTCAGCAGACAATTTGAGGTTAAGTGTTGACCATATCATGGGAAACTACATTCCCAAATTTAGTGTTCCCGGTGTTTTGAAATGACACCGACTAATGTCACCACATTACAAAAACACACGTTAGACCCACTGCTTGAAAAATGTGCGTCTAAAGATAACATTAATATAAGTCTAGCCTGTAGACCTGTCTGTTCTCCAGGTATTCCATAGCTTCTTCCATCATCACAGGCACTGCATGAGCAAAACAAAAGCATCAAGTTAATCGGCTTTACTTACCAGGTTCACTAAAGTTCCGTGATACAGTAGCCTAAACAATTTTGTAATATATATATAATCGATCATTTTACAGAGTAGAATACAAAATAATGTCAATATGCAAGTTCCCGATTGGTACTTTAAAAAAAATGTTTGACTATCAAATTCTTTTTTGCCTTGTTTTGTCGGAAAATGTTTTACATTGTACAGATTATATTATAACACATTATGCCTGAGTAGCATATCTGAACATTACATTATGCAGAATAAGAATAAAGTGAAATGCAAAATATGATTTCTGTTTGCTATTTATCCAGCACTTTGTATCGAAAGCAAAGTAACGGGAAGGACTGACATCTCAGCTGCTCGTTGTAAGCGGGCACAACCACCGTCAGTTCCCGGGAGTGTGGGGTCTGCAAGAAGGGAAACTCTTCCCTCTTGCCTTCTTCGGTAAGGAAACATTTCTCCTTTTCGTGGCGTCTGAAGCCGACCATTTTGGAGGCACTGAGATGTGCTGTAAGTAAGATCTGCAGAAAAGACCGGAGTCGCAATCAAAAACACAAAACTGCGACATCAAACTAGTACTCGACGGTACACCAGAAATTCAATTATACAGTGCCAAACAAAAGTGACAAGTGACATTTCTGCATTCATAAATCAGTGGCCCCAGTTGTGGGTGATCTAGGAAAATCTGTTCATCCTTTAATAACAAGCACATGCTTAGGCATGCAAGGTAAACAGAATAAAAACCACTCACCAATAGAAAACTGATCACTACCAAGGCACCCAGTAACTGAACTAAATCAAATAACCCAAAATCCATTCTCCATTCCCGGTGCAGAGAACAAGTTTAGAAGTGAACCGCACTGTACTGTACTGGTGGAATGAATATGCAAGCTGGGTAACCGATAATACCAGCTGCTATACTTTCACGGTTAACAAAATATATATGTGTATATACAGTATCAGGATGCAGACATGGTGGTAAAACAGACCGCCCCGTCCAGATCACAGAAAGACAGCCATGCGGAAGCCGAGCACTGGGGCTCAGATGGACCACATCATCACAGCAGTCCAAGAGCCCGCCCCTCGTCCAGATCCGGCACGGGAACCGAACAGCGGCCCCGGCTGGCCGGGAGTCTTAGTGAGGATGGAAAGCAGATGGAAGAGAAAATTACACATTTCAAAAATAACTTAAGTATTTTCATAGCGCGATTTAACATTTATTTTGGAACGTATAAAATACGGTGAATCATATTTTTATACAACATAAAAATGTATCGAATCTGCGGCTCCTGAGGGGTGTTTTGATATTTTGCTTCGTGAGTTTCGCTAAATCTAGAACATATTTGAAAACTACTAAAACGGTTAATTTAACGAAAATCGATAAAAAATTAACTATATATAATAATATTTTAAGGTACCGCACCATATAAACATTATAGTCCTATTTAATGTCATATTGTTCTTGATAATTATGTAAATATTATTTATGCATTTTATGCAAATGTTAATATTGGCTCACTAGATGTAATAATGTGTATGTTTTATTTTTAATTGAAAATGTGATTTATTCAGATACGACGAATCTGCCGTGAGTTTCACGTGTTTTCATCAGTTTCACCACAACATCATGGCGGCTGGATTCAAGTGAGTGAAATTAACGCTACCGGGGTTTATGGCTGGAAACAAGTTGATAATCCGGACGTTTTAACAGTATGTCGTTGTTTTAGTATTGTCCTTTGTTATAAGTGTACATTTCGGGTGATGTGTTGTCTCTAACTTGTTTTCTTGGTAGGTAAAGCTTGACAGAATTACCATGAAACTTGTATAAACAGTAAATAAAGCATTTTACCGTATTTTCTCCCACCTCAGAACTGCAGAGCCTTTGGAGTATCACAGAAGTTTTCTGGTAGGTGGCAGATAGATTATAAATGCGATTACTGTCGTTATCTATTTGCCGGTATGTCAGGCAAAGCCATGTAAAGATAACGTACTATTAGACGTAAAACAAACTATGGGGATGCTCTGCAAACAAATGAAAATACTTCCTTCCCTTTAGAAAGAAAACTGTCGACCAGATGGGAGGGAACTGGGTGAATTCAGAACCACTACACTGAATATTGGTGAGTAATGGATTTTCATCCTTAAACAGCAGAACTGCATGAGCTATTTTATAGGCAAACATTACGGCCCTTTCCTCAAACCGGTGTGTAATCTGTACATGGGAAATATTGCTAGAGAATTGTTTTTCACAGTCTCTGAATAAAATTTTTGCATCTTGTTGGCCAAGGTTCAATATCCACCGCCAACGGATCGGCTTTGGTGAAGATCGGGAACACAACTGTCATTTGTGGGATCAAAGGGGTACGACCTGCAGAATTCCTGCTGGAAATGATCCCATTTACAATGCCACACGCCCTTTCCTTGCCATCTTTTCTGCATTTGTAGGAGCTGACGTGTCCACCGAGTGACGCTCCAAACAAGGGTTATATTGGTGAGTCATCGCCCTGTTATTAAAAACCGAGAAGCATTTTTTGGACTTATTGACTTACTGTAACTCTGGGGTGTCCCAGTGCCCAATGTCGACCTGCCCCCACTGTGCTCCTCGAGGTTCCGCCCCGGTCCACCGAGCGAACAGGCGCAGGTAGCTAGCCAATTCATCGCAGATGTCATCGACAGGTACCCAACCACCTCTCCTCTGAAACGCTCTGTCCCTGGCCTTGTACATCATGATTGCACTGTACTTTATGAATTTCCTACATACAAAAGCTGGATCTGTTAAAAATTAACCATTGTGCCAAATTACTCTTTGCTTCTTGTAGCTCAAACGTGATACAAAAAGAGGATCTTTGCATTGAAAAAGGGAAGGTGAGACTCCTCTGCCGTTACTTTCTGCCGGATATGGGAATACGGCAGCTTGATGACTTCTCTCTGCTTTGTAGCTCAGCTGGGTGTTGTATTGTGACATTATATGTCTGGACTATGATGGGAATCTACTGGACACCTGTGTTGTAGCCCTGCTGGCAGCTCTGAAGAACGGTAAGCTCTGGAAACATTGTGGATGTTTGTTTGGGGTATAGCTGTTGGACCCCAGTTGGATCATATCAATGGTCCAAGTGGTACAAAATCCCTCAGTGGGCAGTAATTAAACAATTTCTTCCAGGATAGTAGAAGTATACTGACCTTAATGCCTGTTGAGAGGCTATGGCAACTTCTTTTGTTTTTTTTTTTACCACTATTTTTTTTCCCCTCACAGCGAGGCTTCCAGAAGTTACGATTAATAAGGAGACAGACCTGGCTGAAGTGAACACAGACAAGCTCCATCATCTCAATGTGTCTAAACACCCAGTTAGTTCATCATTTTCTATTTTTGACAAGTAAGTCTGTTTGGTGTGATGTCACGCTTTGGGTTTCGTGGCAATTTCAGCGACCTGTTGAAGTTTAGATCTAGTGTAAAATCTTATTTGCTGAGTGCACCTTTACTGTGCCTTTCACAATCTTCCAGACTGCAGTGTAAAATGGAAGTGGTTACATTTGTCCAGAGTTTGGTGGTTCAGCAGACAAACCCCTGAGCTCTTCTTTAAAGGATCTTCCTTTAAATTGTGCTGATGGTTGGACTTGTAACGTAAGATGTTTCCATTGTCCAAAGCACCATCGTCATCGTGGACCCGACCGTGGAAGAAGAGACCCTGTCGACAGCGATGATGACTGTGGTTACTGATGAAGATGACAGACTGTGTATGCTACATAAACCAGGTGACTCCCTCTGCGCCCTCAGATGATGTCAAAGGTTTCAATCAATGCCCAGTTTTCTTTTTTTCCCCCCAAAAAAGTCTGCTGTCCACCTGCCTCATCGTAATCTTGACCACAAACCTTCTGGCTCAGGTGGGAGCGCTTTATCTGGAGAGAAGCTGCAGGACTGCATCAGCCGTGCCGTCACGCGACATCGCGAGGTCAGCAAGCTGATTGAGAAAGTCATGGACAGCTTCGAGCCGGATAAGTGAAGACAGACACGCGGCCTTGTTCTTTTCTCTAAAAGTTGTATTTTCCACTGTCAATATATATTCTTTTTTTTATCGCAATAAAACTACTGACAAATAACTCTTACAAAAATCTGTATCTGGGTCCGGAAACATCAAATGCACGCAATTCCATACGAATATACACATTCTCCATGGGTAAAAGGTGAAGGTTTTAAAACAGGTCAACTGGAAGTTACATGTCAAAAATGGTGATGGTTTAGGGATCCTCGGGCCTGATTCCGGAGATTGCTTCTGTTCCTAGTTTCTTGAATAGCTCTGACTGACCTGCCCAATACCCAGCCCTGTTCTCTACAGGTATAGAGTACCTTATTATTGCATGACCTGAACAGAGCAGAAAATCTGATGAACAGTAGATTTCCATCTAAGACATTCAGAATTAATCAAAAACACATTAACATACCCTTTAGCGTGTACAGATTTTTCATTAAGTAGCTCATGAGACTTTAGCGTGTTGACAGCTCAGGGAAAAAAATGGATACAGGGTCTCCGGAACCAGGTCAGGGAAGCCCGTGAAAGGCCCAGATTTTTTGGGGCTAAAAAGAGAGCCTTGTCTCAAGGATAATCGGAGCCCTGCGATGGCCGAATCTGCAAGTCCGCTGAAGTGTTTAACTAAAAAAAAACAAAAAAGTGTGCAGAAGCCGGTGTGCTCCAGCAGAAGCAGACATGAGTCCTGGGAACAGTCTTTGATTGAAAGGAGAGTTCGCCAATCAGTGTTCCAGTGATGCTGCCGGTTGCCATGGTCACGATTTCGGCAGCGGCTGGGGCGTGCTGCGCTTCCGCTTACTTCTTGGGTGGCTGGCGGAATGTTGCCGCGGCTGCGCTGCCTGCGCCCCCGCCACCAAAGCCGTTTGCTGCTGCTGCTGCTGCGTTTGGTGCTGCAAGAATCGCAACTGTGTGGTACAAGGGGTGGGGGAAGGGGGGGGGGGGAGAGAGGCGGTTAGTCCATCTAATGTGGTACCTCTGGGTTTCCCGACGTGACCTGGCTGAGTGTGAGGGCGTAAATGCCTGGGAGGGGGGGGGTGGTTAGTAAAAGCTGGAATGATATACAGGACGGACAGACGGGGGGGGGGGTAAGGAGGGGGGGATTGCCACAAAAAGAAGGGAAAAAAAAAAACAGCAGTTATATGGTGCTTGGAGACGCACACAGACCCAAGACAACGAAGAAGAAGATGAGAAACGGGCAGCACCAGATGCAGAGGAACCTGCAAACAGCTTTGCTCTCTTAGCGCGTCGGTCGCCCATGACCACTGCAAATGTCTGCAAATCTAAATGATCTCCCGGACGAGCTAGTACTCCCCGTGCATGCCAACAGACCACCTGCTCGCGAGCCTGACGCTCTCGGGACCTGCCACTTAGGCAGCAGTAAAGCTGGGGAGAATTCGGCAAGTCGGCCAATGAACTGAATGCACTGAGAGTGGGCGGAGTCCTGGAGTGTTACACAGGCGGTGGAGCAAAGAGGAGACAAGGGTTGGTTCATTGACTGGACAAGGGGAGGAGAAAAATTGTTCAAAATTCAAATTTTTTTTACGCATCAATTTTCCATCTACTATAATACTTCTCAGCACTGATGTGGGGACTTTACAACCATAGCTCAGCGCTGACAGAATTAATAAAATAAAAATAATTAAAAAAAAAAAAATTCACTGTGACCAGAAGGGGGCGACAGTCACTTAAGGTGCCACAATTAAGGTGCTGTCATCATCCACATGCACTGAACAAGAAGGAACGGCCAAACAAGAGTCGTTAGTATGTCACTATGGAGCCACGACAAAGCCGACTGAATGGTGGTTAAAAAAACAATTAAAAGGATAAAGGAGAAAGCCAAGGGGGTGGTCAATGATGACACTCAGATAGTGCTGCAGACCACAGGCAGAACCGCCGGTCAGACAGAAACGTTCCGGGTCAGGCGTCCCGTCGAGTAGACGGGACCGTAAACGTTTCGGAGAGCATCGGCCTCCCGACAAGAATAATAATAATAATGATAATAATTATAAACAAACATCAACCACAAACTAAATGCTATTGAAAATTAAAAAAAAAAAATTAAACACCAAACTGAAAAGTTTAACTGTATCAAGCTCTGTTTTTTTTTTTTTTTTTTTGTGGTGCATGACTAGATAAAAAATAATTAAATTAAGCCTTTTTTTGTTTTGGACACAGGACTGCTGGGAATGGCTGCATTACTTGTAGCTGCGGCTGGTACTGCTGCTGTAAGGCAGAGGACAGCTGGAGCCCCGGGGACGGCAGAGTCGGCCCAGGCCTGTCCGGGCCACAGCCCAGCTGGGACAGCACTACGGGGGGGAGGGGGAGAGGA